AACACAAACACAAACACAAACACAAACACAAACACAAACACAAACACAAACACAAACACGGAGAAGAACACATGCACGACCCCGCTCGCCGTGCACACCGGCAGTGTGGCCGACATTGTCGCCAAGACCGACTTAATCGTGTCGCTCGGCGGCGACGGCACCACGCTCCGCGCCGTGCTGGCCTTTCTGAACGGCTCCGTGCCGCCCGTGCTCTGCTTCGCCATGGGCACGCTCGGGTTCTTGCTCCCCTTCGATTTCGCCTCCTTTCGCGAGTCGTTCCGTGCGGTGTTTGAGTCCCGCGGCAAGGCTATCCACCGCACGCGGCTTGAGTGCCATGTGGTGCGGCAGGACGAGGCGGAAGTCTTGTCGCCGAGCCGCCAGCGGGAACACGCCGCCATGGTGCAGTACGAGTTGGCCCACTACAAACAGCACCACGACGCCACCATGGTTTATGCCATGAACGACATCTCCTTGCACCGCGGCGCCCAGCCGGGGCTCATCAAGCTCGACATCTACATCGACAGCGAGTATCTCACCAGCACCACGGCGGACGGGCTTGTGTTTGCCACACCCACGGGGTCCACGGCGTACTCGCTCTCGGCCGGCGGGCCCATTGCACACCCGTTGGTGCCGTGCATTTTGCTCACGCCCATCTGCCCCCAGTCGCTCTCCTTCCGGCCGCTCGTGCTCCCGGCGACATCCCACGTGATGATCCGCCTCCTGGCAGGCACGCGGGCCGAGCGCATCAAGATGAGTATTGACGGCATTGCGCAGCCGGACTTGCGCCCGGGCGACGAGATCCACGTGGTCAACGAAAACGGCACCATCTACATTCCGGGCAGCCATCAGCCGCCGAAAACGCTTCGGAGCAGGCTGGGCTTTGACGACTACATCGAGCCGGGCCGCGCGGGCGGGCCGGCGCCGGCAGACCAGCCGAACGGAATATTCTGTTTTGCCAAGGCAGAGAATGACTGGACGGTCGGGATCACCGAGCTTTTGGGCTTCAACAGCTCGTTCAAGGGCCAGAAACATTGAGCCGCAGGCTCGTGCTTGATTGGAGGAGGGGCGCCATGGCTGGAGGGCTGTGTGGGGTGGAAGAAATGTGGGTTGGAGCCTTCGCGTTGCTTGTCACGGTCAGGGATGTCTTGGAGATGAGCATGGAGAAGTTTGAATCTGCAAGTGGCATTGGGGAATTTTTCGAGGGAGTCGTCCACGCAGATCCGCCAGTGGAAAGATTGGGCGGTGGAGCCTGCTAATCATATATCTCTTACTTGTGGAAACTATCCGATAGAGTTTTGATCTGGGTTTTCAGGCTTGATTGCGTTTGGAGCACCTTGGCCATGGATTCAAACTTTCAGCATGCGCGGGCTGGACACAGCTATGGTGGAATCTCCTGGAGCTGCATTCTCCAGTTGCAAGAGACCCATTCTTGTCCTTTCATAGGAGGGGGTTTCGGGATTGAGAGAAACAAAGTCTAAAGAGGCACTCGAAACTAAAACCACGCCTAGTTACTGTTCAAACATTTATCTAGGCCGAATATCTCTGCGCTGGCCAAAACTGGATGGGAAATATCATCGAATTGGTAGAAGTCCGTACACAAGTTCTCACTTCAAAGTAGCCGCTGATGTTTGTAAACCTTCGCCTCCACGGCCAATAAAAAGCGCATGGGTATGACAGATATCATGGCCGCGAGACATGAATTGGCCAAGGCTCGAAAATTATCACCTGCTGCAGAACTGTCATTCAATCCTACTTCTGTTCAAGTTGAGCATAGTCACGCCATATGGTGAGTACATAATACTAGTCGGGCAGCTTGATGAAACTTGCTAGACACATCTCTGCATCGTGGATCCAAAAGAGGAAGAGGCGTCTTGAACAGTATTAGACGAACAGAAAAGATGCACAAAGGCACTACTACATTTCTGGAATCAAATCTTTGCTGAAAAAGTTGCTTAATGCGATGCGGCGCAAGGGCTCTCCTATCAAAAGTCATTGAAGTGTCGGCTGATCCTTGTTTGAACGACCTACAAACGCAAAAACCATCGAAATAGTACCCCTGCTCATTTTGCATGGTCTTTGGGTATAATCGGACTTCGGTAACTCTACGGTGCACCCAACTAATATCAGCGCCCCTTCAGGGTGCGCTCCGAAAACAAGTTGCGTTCTTTTCTACAAGAAACATGATACGTTCACTCAAACTACATTGTCGGGAGTGGAATTCCGGCCGCGAGATCGCGTTTCCAATGAGGACCCACCACCAAACAGCCGCATATTGTAGAAGTCATGGCAGATGGCTCAGGAATCTCCAGCAAAGTCTTATCAGGCTTGGGAACGCGAGAATCCACTACATTCAACGTGCCTGCCCAACTATACATGAACAAAAATACCTTGAAGCTTGGAACTGAGGAGCGGGTTGCCGCACGGCTCCTTGTCCTGTACCGGTCGGGGCTCGTGATCACGCCCGAATCGGACAGGCGATATTTTTGGCGGCGGCAGATCCAAATGGTCGCCAGGTGCACAACCTGCTATTGTTGCCGCTATTGTGTTTGACAATGTGATTCTGAATCTGGGGAAATTGGCTAATGTTGCGCGGGTTCGGACGAACAAGTCCGAAAAACTGTGGGACGTCTCTGAGGATGACGTGCTGAATTTGCCAGCACTTGGAATTGCAGTGACCTACCCGGAAACACTGACATGCTATAGAATCTAGTGGCACTGCGGTATTGCCACATCTTTCCGCCGCTCTCAAACTTCCTTTTGTCGGTGCAAGATTCACAGTGGTGTGGGTTCTGCCATGTTTTTGTTTGGTGGTTTTGGTGGTTTGGTCGGTCTTGCAGGAGACGGCGGCTTGTTTAACGTGCTCTATAGTAACCGGTAGATCAACAAGCACTGCCCTTCTTTACCCGTTACCTTTGTCTTCATTTGCCCAACACAAATTGAGTGCCTCCATTGAAATTGGCATAGACTAAAGGAACAACAACAGTCATTCTCGTCTTGCCGCCACCAAATATATCTTCACCGTCCATGAGTAAAGATCATACATCCGAATTGCTCGCGCACTCCCTTCTACCGAAATCTGCGGGTGCCCGCTATTCATTTGAAGGGTCCCAGAACCATCAACAGATCCGCCGCGCAAAATTTGTATGTTTATTTTCCGGTGCTTGTTTATTACAATGGAACACTTATCAGGCAGAGAACAGCAACGGAATCTCATGCACCTGCCTGGCCGTCTAGCTGGACAGGGCCTCGAGCACAATCGAGAACAAGAAAAATTTCTGGACAAGAATAAAACCAAAAAGAAAATAAGAAACGGAAACAAAGGAGATTTTCCAGAACGCGGTGAACTGGGCAAAGGCCAAGCGTTGATAAGGATCCCTTCGATTCCGTGGGCAGGCACAATACGCGAGAAACAGGAACGCAATTATAGTTGTAAGACACCGTGAGCGAGCACAGACGTGCCGGCTAAATGGGGAATTCATAGAAGCCGGTCGGAAGTGCGCGCCACCCGATTTCAAAACTGGCCCAGATAAAAACTCTCAGTCTCAATTTACCTGCCCCCATGTTCCACTTATCTTAAGCGGATTTCTCATGGGTTCTCCACAGATCCGACAGAGAATTTATTTACTTGGGGACCTCCATTGACAGTTTCTTGATTCCGCTTCTTTTTTTTTTGTGAGGGGTGGAAGCAGTTGCAATCTCTGTGCTTGCTTACGTCTGTTGCCTTGTCGGGGCGCGTTTTCCACTGGTGCATTTGCCCTTCGTATTTCGCGGCTTGGGCTGCAGGTCCACGGGATCGTCGTGCGTACGCATGAATTATTCTTGTCCTTTCCTGTCCATTTTCAATTGTTTTTTTTTTTTTTTATTCTCTCGCTCGCGAACTGGGGTTGGCACCGTTGACAGTACCTGTTTTTTACGTATCTGTGTTTTTCTTGAAATCTTCTCAGAAACCCGCCTCCTAAGTTCCGACCTCTTTTCTGTCACGCTTTTCCGTGTAGGGCCTCCACTGTCGACTTCCAGCCCACAAACAATTATCTCTTTATTCGCCGCCAGAGCTGGACCCGTGCATTCTTTCGCCCGGAAATCTCGACTCAACACTGGCAAGCAGAATCCGCTTTTGCCAGGGAAAAGAAAAAACACCTCGACACAAACAGCCCCCGGGGACTTCTCCTCTCTGGCCCGCTGTGACTTTTGTTTTTGTGAACTAGCCGCCACCCCTGAACACGTGCCTGTTTGCTAGGAGCGAGAAAAAAAAAAGCAACAAAAATGTCGTTGCCCGTGCAGATGGCGATGAAGTCTTCCGGCGCGATCAACCAGCCGCCTGCCGTGCTTCCTCTCCAGCAACAGATGCAGATGATGCCCCATGCCCAGGCCCAAGCCCAGGCCCAGGCACAGGCGATGGCCCAGGCACAGGCCCAGGCCCACATGCAGCAAAACAGCCAGCGGCCGCCCGCCGAGGTGACGTCTGTGCTTGCTGAAACCACGGGACTGACTTGGTTGGCGATCGGCTCCTTGGCTGAGTCCTTGGGTGATTTGGACAAGGCGTCCCTGCTGTACGACACAGCGTTACGGCACAGCCCCAACAACCCAGAGGCGTTGACGCGCCTCGCCAACATCTACCGTACGCGTGACCACTTCTTGAAAGCTGCAGAGCTTTACGAACAGGCTTTGAACTTCCACCCCGAAAACGGCGACACGTGGGGCCTCTTGGGCCACTGCTACCTCATGATGGACGACTTGCAGCGCGCGTACGCCGCGTACCAGCGTGCGCTCTACTACTTGGAGAACCCAAACGTTCCCAAATTGTGGCATGGCATTGGCATCTTGTATGATCGCTACGGTCTGTTGGAATACGCCGAAGAGGCATTTGTGCGCGTGTTGGATTTGGACCCCAACTTCGACAAATCCAACGAAATCTACTTCCGCCTCGGCATTATCTACAAACATCAAGGCAAGTTGCCCAGTGCACTCGAGTGTTTCCAGTACATATTGGCCAACCCGCCTCATCCCTTGACCCAGCCTGATGTGTGGTTCCAGATCGGCTCTGTGCTCGAGCAACAGAAGAACTGGACTGGCGCCGAGGAGGCCTACAAAAAAGTCTTGGAGGTCAACCCTAATCACGCCAAGGTCTTGCAGCAGCTTGGCTGCTTGTACTCGCAAGCTGAGGCGGCGCCCGTGGACCTGCCTGCTCAGAGCGGGCCACCTCCTTTCCAGCAAGACTTGGCCGTAGCTTTGAAGTATCTCACTCAGTCCATTGATATCGACTCCACCGACGCTCACTCCTGGTACTATTTGGGACGTGTGCACATGATTCGTGGGGACTTCAATGCTGCGTACGAGGCTTTCCAGCAGGCGGTCAACCGCGACTCGCGCAATCCAACTTTTTGGTGCTCGATTGGCGTACTTTACTACCAGATCTCTCAGTACCGTGATGCTCTTGATGCCTACACTCGAGCCATCCGCTTGAATCCATACATTAGTGAAGTATGGTACGACTTGGGCACTTTGTATGAGACCTGCAACAACCAGATTTCCGATGCTCTTGACGCGTACCGCCAGGCAGAGCGTTTGGACCCAGGCAATCCGCACATTCAGGCCCGCCTTGAGCAGTTGATCAAGTACCAACAAGATGGTAATACTCACCCACCACAGCCTCCGCCAGTTAACCAGCAGCCCCGCTTGCCGCAAGGCATGGTCTTAGAAAGTACCCAGCCTCCCCAGCCATCAGGACCTCCGGGTCATCCCCAGTCGGGAGCTTTACAACAGCCGCAGCAGCTCCATACGGGCCCATCGGCCCATCCACCGGCGCAGCTCCAGCTTGGCCAACAACCACATCATCTTCAACCGCATCCACAGCCTCTGCAGCTGCAACCGCAGGTCACGCGGCTCACGCAGCCTCCGCCAGGCCAGAATGTACCTTATCCGCAGACACTTCATCAGGCACCCATCCCACTGCAAGCACCTCCGGCTCCTCAGACAAGAGCAGTATCAATTCCTGCAGTTCAAACTCCTGTGGTCCAAAATCCTGCGGTCCAGACCCCTGCGGTCCAAAATTCCGCGGCCTCGAGATCATCTGATCCCGCTCAACCAGTGTTAACACCTACTGTCCAACTGCTTCCACCGAATAAGCGGAAGTCGCCCCCTCAGCCAACTCCTGTCCCGCAGATCCAGACTGCGATGCCCCCTCAGACTACTTCAAGTGTAGGTTTGTCCATGGCTGCTCAAGAGGTGAACCAGCAATCAAGTGAACCGCCGCAGCCACAGCAAGCACTGGGTTCCGCTTTTGGATCGGCTCAAAACATCATCACACAACCCAACGTACAGTCTGAGCGCACAGTGAAGAGCTCCTCCGCCACGCCACACCAGACACCCAAGCTGCCCGTCAACGGAGGCTCCGCGCCACCTATCAGTATCGCGAGTTCAGTGTCAAATGGATCTTTGAAGCATGACTTGGATGATAAGGCGAGTCCCGTGCTTGTCAAAAGACCCAACACTGCCGAGACCATTCTTGGCAAAAACGATTTGGCTACGAAGGTGTCACCAACCCCACCCATACATCAAGCAGCCCCACAAGCACCTGCTCCAGTCTCTGTAGCTCAAGCAGCTCCCGAGCAAACTATTTCAGCACCCACAGCTCAACTTCCTTACCAGCCTCCTCATCTTCTTGGATCTACCACTCACCAGCAAGATACACAGTCATTCTCTGCGGGTAACCATCAGCTGGCATCAGAGTCGAGTGGAACAGTAAATGGTATCACGCCGAACCAATCTCAAGTACTGGACCTTCAAGAAGTGAGGGCTCGAGTTCCTACTGCATCGCCAGCAGAAACATTGAAGGGTGTTAGCCCAAAAGACAACCCAAAAAGCGCGGGGGACTCGTCACGCGTGGCGTTGCAACCAATCACAGGGCAGTCTGTTTTGACACAAAACTTGCCATCAAACGTTGATCTCAATCAGGGGAAGACGGACGCTGTAAATAATGATGACGAAGAGGAAGATGATGAAGAAGAGGAAGAGAAAGAGCCCATGGAGCCTCCCATGAGAAATGTGGAGGAAGACGAGAATTATGACGAGGACTAGGAATGGAAAGGAACATTTTCTATGGTGGGGAAGCGTCTGGACGACTCTTCCTTGAATATAATCAAGCATGCTGTTGATATAAGAACTGTGCACCGGTCAGGTGCAAAACACCTGTACCATGTATAATTATGTAATATTTGGATAAAGACCGTTAAAAACATTATCGCTTTAGTGGCTCAATTTTCGTATGCTCCAGGGAACCTTGCCATCGAATCTGTTCTGCTGGACTGCTGCTCTAGTTTACTCTCACGCTGAGTGACCACCGTCAATTCATACAATTGACGTGCTTTTTGGTGACATAGAAATAGATTCACCACGTCTTTGGTTAAAGCCACCAAAGCCATCCCAAGCAAATTTGAGAGGAACTTGAGTTTGTCCTTGTCAACATGTTCGAAGGAGGATATTCTCAGAATACAAAGCCCGTAGATAAGCTTCCCTATATCAACCGAGATGAACGGCCACAACACCGTAGTCACTCCTGTTACAATAGCCAGTCTGTATAGAAGCGTTGAGGAGTAGTCATGCTGCATGCATGCCTTCAGTTTATAATACCAGTAAAGCACCTTCAAATGGAAATACTTGAAAGCTGTCCTGTCTCGAAGGAGCCGAGCGAATTCTTTGAGTAAACGGGAATAGCTTCCAAAGGAGTGGTTTTTGCCACGAGCATGCTTCACTCGTTGGGAAATGCAATACAGGAGACCAGTGATTTGCGTCTCTAAATCCTCTAACTCGCTTAACTGCAGCGGGTCCAAAGAATTGGCGGTTTCTCTGGGACGCACAGATGCGTTGAGATCGAAATGGAGCCTGTTTACTGTGAATTTGTAAATGAAATCGTAGAGCCATCGGGCAGGGATGGTTGCTGCGACCATGACTGCGGGGTCCCACCAGTTTACATCCTTGAAAAGAAGCCCGAGCTGTGGAAGCGATGATCTGGTTGTTGCTGATTTTGCCACGAGAGTCTTGAAATTCTGATACACTTGCTTCACCAACGTGTGATTGCCCAAAGACGAGATATAGTTGCAAAGAAGCAACTCGCTGATCCACTCTGTCATCAGTGCAGTAGGATTCTTCCGGAAAATGCAATCTAGAAGCAGCAGGAAGCGCATGCGATAGAGCATCACAGGAAGTAGCGGAATATGCTGGAATTTGAGTTGGTGAGCTAGAAAGGATGACTTTCCAGAGCCCAGCTGGCCGTTCAACAGATCCAGTAGCGACTGTGGCCGCAAGCGGTCCAGTGCCAGGGGGTTCCGCCTGAAAAGCGGGGAAATGAGAGAGACAGGTACGATGGCGTCGATGATCGACACGCCACAACGCGCAAGGCCTACGTAGCCCATTGTGACGATGCCTGTAGCGGCACCCGTGAGACCGGCGAGAATTCCGGAGTACTGTACGGTGTCGGAAATCGTATTGCGGATCACCCGATTCAACGTCAAGAGCGGCAGTCTCCGGACCTGGAACGTGATTTTGGACTTGCACTGCGGGCAGGGTGCCGAGAGAAACACGCGGTCCGGGTCCATGAATGGATTCTCGCCGTGATTTGCGTGGTCTGTGCCAAGGCCGGTCGGACTGGCAGTCCCGGAGCTGTACTGGCCAAGGACCGTGAACCAGCGCGATCGGAGCGATACGTCAAACACATTTTGCTCGGCGTCGACGTCGTTTTCAAACACCCAAGGCTGTGCATCTGGGGCTCGAGGAAAGGTATCGGTAATCAGGCTGTCGCCCGCGTCGGAATCGTCGGGATTGTAGTTCCGCGAGATTTGCGCCACCGGGATGCTGTTGAACCAGTCAACAAGACATTTGCGGTGGGAGACCAAACTGCATGTGGAGCATGGTAGAAGCATGTTCTGGGCGTCTTTCAACGTGCCAAAAGGTGGCACCTCGGTGTTGTCGCCAAGGCAGAAGGCACATGTTTCGTCGGGCATTGCGTATGTTCCTTGGTGATTTGTCGACATTTTATGTTCTGAGGAGATTAGATACTCTGTGGAGTTTTGATTATTTGTGGAGCTTTGGCACTTTGTGGAGACTTGAGCTTCCGTGGAGATTAAAGACTCAGAGATTTGATACTCTGTGGAGACTTGATGATCTGTGAGATTTGATACTTTGATGGTTTTGTGACTCTGAGATATGTTCCTAAAAATCGTAAACTTCGTATTCTCTCGTCGTAGCTCCGACTTTCAGGCGCTTTTTGGAAGGTTTGCCCCGTAGCCGGTATTGCAGAAAGGAGACTAAAATAAGCTGGCTGTTGGCGCTAACAGAAAGAAATATAAACTGGACAAGCGCCTGATCGCAAGTACTAAATAATAATCAAGTCAGAATCACCGAAGCAAGACAAACGCACACAAGATATTGGAGGATTTATTAAAGAAGCCGTGGGCAAAGAAATGTGGTGCCCGATGTAAAAGAGTTAGTATCTCCAAAGAACAGCGGAGATCAGACCAGTCTTTGAATGGCTGATGTGGGGCAAAAGTCGCGAGGACAGCCGCTTCTATGTGCAGTCCGGGGCAAAAGCCCAGGGATGGTGGAAAAGGAGTCTTGTTCAGAGGCATCAATTTCAAATTCAATGAATATGAGGGTTTTGCATGATGACCTGTGGCGTTCGTGTAAATATATATATATATATATATATAATTTGGAGTCCCATGACGGAATCGGTTTGACTGCTGTACCCCGGTACTCTGCTTTCCGTATTAATTCTGAAATGGGTGCGAAACTTGTCACCTTTCCTAAAAAATGAAACCATAGCTTTAAGGATTTCAAGTCGCATGTCTCTAATCATCACTGGGGTTTAGGAGCTGTGATCTGACATTTTGGCAAAAAGCTTGGTGAGAAACCAACCCACCCTTATCATGTTCCGTATTCAGACGTTCTTGACCAATGGAAATTTTTGCACTATATGAAAAGCCACTGAAGAACAGCGGGTCCAAAGAACAACGAAAACGTCCAGCATCATCTAAGTGGATCTCGAGCAAATGCATGGCGTGCGCTGCCGGTATGTGAGTAGATTTGAGTGTGTGGGATTCTCGTATTGTTGAAGGATGGAAGGCACGAGTATAGACGGCTGAGCTTTCACAAGTTCGTTCTGTCGAACGTGCCATTATTAGACGAAAGTAGTAGTAGTTGGGTGGTCTATGATTGTAACCGACCTATGCACATGGCCAAGGATCAAAGACGTTTCCCGATGATACTGTTTCGTGTTCTGACTTTTCCTAACTAACAAGAAGAACCACATGTGGCGGGATATGAGTATCATACTTGGAGTCCATCTATATGAAGCACATGAGACTCAGCAATGCGCTACACAAGTCCCATTAAACAAAATTCTTGAAAGTAATCTAGCAAATTCTGTTATTAAAGATGCCGAAGGACACATTTTTTATTGAGGCTGATTTTTTTTTCATATAGCGTTACCACAAGCATATACATCCATCTAGGACATTACACATCCATCTAGACAATACTTATCCATCTGGTCAAATCGTATTGTATCCTTCCAGATCAGATTTCAATATCCAGAACATATTTATCTGATCAGAACAAAATTCATCGAGAACAAATCCATTCATCCATTCAGAACAATTCACCCACCAAAACAAATTTATCCAGCAATCCAAACTATATGTCCATCTATCCAAGAAAGACACATTCAATCCATGCAACCCGAACATGTGCATCTAACATGTACATCCGCTCAAAACATACTTATTCATCCTCTCCTGGACATTCACGTCCTTCCCTCTCATTGTAAAGCGTCGGCTAGACGGAGACCCTCGGCCAAGTGAAAAAGCCGGGCGTCCACAGTCGTGCCTTCTTTTTCACACACGGCAAGAAGCCCATCATACAAACCCGCCATCGGCAACGTAAATACTTCGATATACTCGCCGTCCTCCAACTGCGGCTGCGGGTCTGTGTTGCGGGGGTCGGCCATGTCAATGTCCACAGTGGCCAACGCCATGTTTGCATTGGTCAAGCCAGGATCACTGTATAGCGGAATTGACTCTTTAGTCACTTTGCCATGGTAGCCGGTTTCCTCGAGCAATTCTCTTTCTGCGGTCGTCGCCACCGATTCGTTGGGATCAATCAATCCGGCAGGAAGCTCCACCACCACCTTGCCGACGGGTGGGCGGAACTGCTTCGTTAGCACCACGTGTTTGCCCTTGCTGCCCGGTTTCTGGAGAAGACCCAAAATGCTGACGGCATCCAAACCTGTGGTTTCCGTGCGTGTCGTCCGCACGGCCATCTCCCACACCCGCGATTTGCCGTCCGGATCCGTGTAGTCGATTTTGCGGGTCTGGATCCATTTGCCCTGTTCCATGGGCTGGACTTTATCGACGTGTGCTTTGAAGGGAGAGTTCTTCATGGCCCTGGCTGCGGTGTGGAGTATGCGGAAGGACTGAAACAACTTGAAAAGTGGAGATCTCAAATCTACAACGGAGAAAAAAAACCCGTGTTGCTTACCGCTGTTGCGTTTTTGCTTCTGCTCTAATGGGTAGCTGATATAGAGCAAGCTTAATTAGCAGGGCCGATTGGTTACCGTCGCACGCGCAGATGGTCATATACAAAACAGGCGACTTTGCAAGAACCCAAAGTACAGGATACTCTGATCCAGCTCTGAATCTTCCCGAGCTGCCGTCTGTATCTCAATCCACCTCGTATTTTCTAGCCTCAAATTTTCTAGCAAATGGCCGACGAGCTAGATGCCATTAAGGCGCAGATCCAGAGCCATTTGGTGGAGCTGGGCAATTACGATGCCATCTCGAAACAGCTCAAATTGAAGCTCTACGAGTCCGGCTGGCTCGACCAGGTCACGCAGCTCGCCGCCCAGAAGTTGGAGGCGCTGCCAAAAGAAGAAAACGTGAATTTCGACCAGCTTTTCGGCGCCTTGAAGCCACAAGCTGAGCAGTTGGTACCGGCGGAGGTGAAGGAGGACACATTGCAGACACTCCGAGAGTACCTCGACAACGTCATCCAGTAGATGATTGCGGGGTCTTTTGATCATTTTTTGGAACCAGTGCCAGGCGTGGAAATTCCATCTGACTCATGCTCTTCATGATTTGCATGGTGTGAGCCTGCTTGCTATAGTTATAGATACTCGAACTTGTGTCTTGATCAGGTGAGCAGCTCCAAATCCTGTCTATATAATTATGGAAAAAGAGACACGTTTCTAGAGGTTAATTCTGAAAACTCGGGTGGAGATAGGTGCGGGCCTATTTGGCAGTACTAGATCGTATAGCCTTCTGTTAAATGTGATAGGAGCATTTTCAGCGGAATGCATCAACCAGCGCAACATGAGTCGATCGAATTCGAGCTGAGTCATGACAACTTTGTAGTCAGCGTTGTAGTCACATTCTCAAGGAGCACGACGTCTCTGGTTCCAGAGATCGGAACCTATCAAATTCGACTTTGTATGTTTGACTCCTAGGGTATTCGGGAATCTTGGGATTCCCAGTAGCTCATTCCACAGGGCTGTGTAAAGGATGAAACGTCTTCCTTACCAGCTTATGCGTATTGACGAAGATTGGCACCCAAGGTGCTGTGGTCCAAAGTTTCTACAGCTGCTATCGATACGCTAGTGAGTCATTTCTTCCTAGTTTTAAGGAAAAAATTTCAATTTACATTTCTCCCCATTTCGCTCAATCATCTGAGAGGGCAGCTTCAAGAAGCCTAGAATCGAGTAGGTAGAAACTTAAGAGATCTCAACACTATTGACTTGCTTTGAATGGCATTTTGTGTTAAAATATCAAGCCAGAAATCTGTTGAGGATTTATTGCATCTCACGCGAGCTTTTAAACCCTTACTGCTAATTTGTTTATGCAAATGTAGACATCATGTCACGTCGACATTTGTCATTAATCCTCAAAAATTAATCCAGGTTTTGACTTGAAGAAAAAAGCTTACTTCATCGTCAGTATGAAAATTCAACTGAAAAAAAATAGTCACAGGAGGAACTGTAAAATCGATCTGCAAAAAAAAGCCCGACTTTCGGTGATGAATTATTCTATTTCTCAATGTATTATTTACATACTACAAAAGTCTAGAAAGGAGGCTTCCAAATAATCCGTGGTCACAAAAGAGAATATCAGTACAAATAACCTGTCTACCGGAAAATGTCTGACAGATCCTCTATTTAAACTATCAAGAATGATAATTGCGAGCAATCAATATTCAAGAAACAGATTTTCAATCAGGAATCCCATATTTTTTAGTCTTTCCCTGGAAACCAACTTTTCCATCGCACATATCTCTGTCAAATAGAATGTTACATGCCATCGAAAGCGTGTTCTAACTTTGGTTGGATCATCCGATTCGAGAAGCAGCACTATACAATATACGAAACCTTTGAACAGATCCTAATTACATACCTAGTAAGCCAAACCTGAGCTCTTCTTCCATAAGAGCTATTACATTATCTTTTTTCGTATATATGTATGCTTGAAGTACGACAATCGCCATGTACTGGTGTTAATAAATTCCGGGTATATATTTTAGCCTATCTATTTATAATCCAGTACACAACTTTGTTATGATACGACATGAACAAGATTATAGATTCTCGTCATCCTGTATAATACGAAGGACGAAGAGTCTAAACATTCCTGATCGGGGTTACCCCTCACCTACTGTATAGAAGGGTTCCGAACTATAAAGGGGCGTGAGGCTGAGACATCCCTCATAACAAACTTTCGGTTGCGGCCATACCATGCAGGAAGCACTGTTTCCCGTCCGATCAACGTTAGTTAAGCTGCATAGGGCCACACTGAGTAGTGTAGTGGGAGACCATATGCGAAATTGTGGTGCTGCAATCTTTTTGCATAAAGATAATTTCAGACCTATTTCTTGTCCTGAGACAGTTACCTTTTCTGCTTTCGCAAGGCTTGTTTTGTGTAGCAGAATTAGTCTATTACGATGTGTTCCGAGGCGGCTGGCGAAAGCCGAGATTTAAGTATGTGATAAAATAATATGCTAAGGCAGTATGCAAATTGGGATGTGATACTTTCAGGATGAAGAACTTCAGCACCATCATTTTGCTTCCATCCTCAATCTCACAGGACATGGTTGGTTTTTTAAAAGAATATTCAGACAGGGTCGTAGGGAAACACGTGCCATCTCATGTATCAGCTAGAATAAGATAATGTGTGTGTAAGTAATATCCGAGGATATGCAAAGCACACGGCAAATAAGTCACTTTCTGTTCCAATGCACAGATAGGGAAACAAACAGAAATGAATCATTGCAAGCCCAATCAGTGGATTCATCGGATTTGCAGGAGATTAAAGTGGCTCATGCTATTTATACCAGAGTACATATACGAAGGTAATGGATACATGGTAAATCTTTAGTCCCATGTTGAAAAGAATAGGAGAGAGCAGCAAAAGAGATGTACTGTGCACCTTCGTTCAAAGAAGCATTGGAACAGTGATGGGGCTCATGTCTGTTCTCATCTGTGTTTGGACAACTGAGGTAATAGCGAAACACCTGATGCTGAAGATGGCGAGGCGGGCCGCATCAGACAAATCCACTTCAATGAATGGTAGACGAATTAAGCAATTTAGAAGCACGGAAATATCTGTTACTGCTGTCACGGAGATCTGGGATGTTTGTGCCATGACAAGACTACTTGCACAAAACATTCCAGCTCTATCTTAGAGTTGTCGGTTGAATGATCCGATCTTGAGGCGTATGGTGTTGCTTTGAGTTTACCTTTACTGATCTATTCTGTTTTGCGAATCTGACAATAGCAGTAATTAGGCATTAACTTGGTACTACAGGAAAACAAGACTCTATTGAGGCGAATGAAGGGATTTTCAAACGCCTGGAGAAATATATGGCATGTTTTTGGTGGTGGCTCGGGCTATCTCTTTATGTTCTTCTTAAAGTGTCTTGGATTTTGGGGCAGAAGACTATTTTTAAACGTTTTTCAATGACACAGGGTCTGGCAGAAAGAAACCCCTCTCAGAACTACCGGTGTGATATAAGCCGGAGGTGGACTCCGAGTTAGATGGGGCGTACCTGAAGCCAGAATGGTAAGGATGGTCAAAGTCTTGTCACTTTGAAATCTTTTGTGAGACAATTTGAAAGCCTTTGAAGTGAACAAGTGTATGGTGTATCAGTAAAGCAGAATACATCACTCTTGGCACGCGTCATTCAATGGGCTCTTCGGAACGGTCTAGTTTTTCTGAAACATTAGTGAAAGGCCGAAAAGACGAAACAAGAGGTAATAAAGGGGTACAACAAGACAGATCGAATAACCGAAAGAGCCAAATCATAAGGGGTATAAAAGGAGGAGCCTTGATAAGAGAAGACCATCAAGTAGAACCAAATCCAGAGGAAGCCAAAGAGGAACCAAGACAGGAGGGGCCAGACTAATACCAGTCGGATCAAGAGAAACCATATCAAGACTGACCAAATTAAGACTAACCAGATTAAGACCAATTAATTTAAAACTTATCAGATTACGACCAACCAGATCAAAGCCAGTTTGGAGATGAAAATTAAGACGAACCATGACAATAGAAATCAAGTTACAAACACCATAAAAATCAATGTTGACCAAGCTTAGAGGGGCCAAGACACGAGGAACCAAATCAAGACGAATCAGCTCCAAAGCCGAATTAAGACCAACCAAATCAAAGAAAATTAAAAAGAGACAATTAAGAGAAGACAATAAGAGAAGACAATAAGAGAAGACAATTACAAAGTAAGACCAAACAAATTAAGACAAATCAAAGTAAGACCAAACAAATTAAGACAAATCAAAGTGAGACCAAACAAATTAAGACAAATCAAAGTAAGACAAATGAAAGTAAGACAAATCAAATTAAGACAAATCACACTAAGACCAATCACGCTAAGACCAATCAAATCAAAGACAATCAAGACAAGACAAACAAAGTAAAGACATTCAAAAGAACCCAACCAAAAGACACAACAAAAAGACACAATCAAAAGACACAATCAAAAGACACAATCAAAAAAAAAACACAATCTAGTGAAACCATCAAAAGAGCCACACCAAAAATCCACGACACTCCATAGACGCGAAACGTGCCGCAACACCTCTGCGCCAGGCCAGCTGCAAACTGCCCGCCTGCACATAGCCGCACCCGTGCCTCCGCCGGCCTCGCCCAATCACCTCGCCTTGTTTTTTGCTGATCGGGGCGCGCGAAAAAAAGCAGGCCCCGCGCCCCAAAAAGACCTGCTGCTATCTCTCTCTTCTTAACGCTGGACGATCCGTAGAGCTATAGAACGCCGGCCAAAACACACACAAAAACACAAAAAAAAGCACGGGACTATGCTAGGCTTGAGTGTCAGATCCGCCGCGGCCGCCGCCAGGCCCGCCGCCCCTCGCGGGCTCGTTTTCGCCCGCATGGCCTCGGCCAAAGTCGGCCTTCCCGCCAGAGACTTGACGCCCAAACCCATGGCCACGGATTTCCCGCTCATGTCGCAAAAAACCGCGTCGGCGCCCATCGACTATGCGTTGACGTCCTTGGACGCCATTGCCATGTGGGCCCGGAAATCGTCGTTCTGGCCCGTGACGTTTGGGTTGGCGTGCTGCGCCGTCGAGATGATGCACGTGTCTGCGCCCCGGTACGACCAGGACAGACTCGGAATCATTTTCCGTGCGTCGCCGCGTCAGTCCGATATCATGATTGTGGCCGGCACGTTGACCAACAAGATGGCGCCGGCGTTGAGACAGGTGTACGACCAGATGGCGGACCCCCGCTGGGTGATTTCCATGGGCTCGTGCGCCAACGGCGGCGGCTACTACCACTACTCGTACTCGGTGGTACGCGGCTGCGACCGCGTTGTGCCTGTGGACATCTACGTGCCCGGCTGCCCGCCCACGGCGGAGGCGTTGATGTACGGCGTGTTCCAGTTGCAGAAGAAGATGATGAAGACCCGGGTGACGCGCTTGTGGTACCGCAAGTGAGCGCCGCCTCGCCGTGCCCTGTACACTACCCTTTTTCTTCTTCCCCGCCCCTTCCAGACATTGGTGTTTGTCTTTTGCATTGTATAGTACTTATACACAGATCATTTCCGAGCCCGCGGCGCCGGGCGGCCATCGATCCAGGCCGTCCAGCCGCAGCCTGGCATGCGGTCAGAGGGTGTCAGCCCGGGGTTTGAAGTAGTCGTGTCGGCAAACAATCGTCTTGGGCAAACAATCGTCTTGGGGAAACAATCGTCTCGGGCGAACAAGAGTCGTCTCGGCCAGCGCACGTGCCTGTCGTCCGGGTGCATGTTGTTTCCAGCGCGGTTGGGTCTTTGGCCTTGGTGCTGGCTGGGGTCCTGATGCGGCTTCAGGCAGACGTTGGGATGGACTCGTGCCATGTTCTTTGGTGGTCCTGGGCTTTGTCAGTGCATCCTCATGGCTGTTTCGATCCACGGCCCCATTGGTCTATACTTCCGCTGCTTGTCTGCTTGCAACGCTACATTGGTCACTGCAATACGGCTGCATCGGCCTCCATACATTATGGCAACACTTGTCTATATACGTAGCTATATGCTACGTTGAATACATAGCTATATGCTACTTTGAATACATAGCTATATGCTACTTTGAATACATAGCTGCTGCAACATGCCGCTTCTGACTCTATCCATAGCTGCAATATCACTGCTACTTTGTTAACGATACTCTGCCACACCTTCGTCTGTATATTACTGCTATGGATGTGTTCAACTGCTCTGAAGCCTCATGGATCAATACCGGAACTATGCTTTTTGAACACATATCTGAAGACATGACCCACTCGACAAATGGTCAAGAAGTCAAATCACCTGGAACATCTTCCTTGTTACGGAATGCGTACATGCATGATTGTTTCTCACCTTCATCTCTGTCGCGTGGTGTCTTTCAACGAGCAGACTACGGATTTGAGGGGTTTTTGCTGCTTTCTGCTGTCGGTCCATGTGCTTTGTAAAAAAGAGAAACTACTGGAGTGGACATGTCACATCTGGTCTAAAATTACTTTACATCACTTGAGTTTGAAGCTTCCACACACACGGTCATTGTCTGGGACAATTGCCTAATACCTAGGCACTCAAATGACAGCCGGACAAGGAATTATTTTGCTTTGCCACTTTCTTATATTAAAATTATCCCCGGGTATTTCAATGCCACTGTTGGCTCTATATACTCTTGTTGCATTGAGCTATGCATATTGCTCCTGCGCAGGGAATAGATTCTGCATCACTGCTGCTTGGGAAAACAATAAACAACTCCCCACTTGCGCTATATAGCTCAGCTAGTGGTATACTTTGATCATCTTAATTTTCTACAGCTGCATCTTTCAATGCAAACAAATCACAGCCTTCCACTGACAAGTTAGGTATTTGCATTCTCTTGGTTGTGTTTCTCTTGTAAAAGTATTGTTCGAAGAAAGGGATGGGACCCACAGCAAAAAACGACCCATTGGAGACACAAGTCAGCGTAAGACACGGTAGATGAACAAATTGATTTCACTTCAGCATTCACTCAAAGACCTTAGTCAATCATATACGTAAGTAACAACTCGATTCACAGTGAAACGTAATAAGCTAGTATGATCTTATATTTGCGCAAGAGGGGAAGGCCACAGCTGTAACAGCTTTTTCCTCCGCAGAGGCTCCAGCCTACGAAGGCTTTTCTCGATGGGGAATCCAACTAGATATTCACTCAAATCCCGGAGTGCCCATTTCTCTGCAATGAGCTACGGATATCTTTAGTTGGCTGCTATCTACCCTAGTGAATTGCTGTTATTCGCAACTAAACTACTATTCTATATCTTATTTTAACTCATACTAATCTTAACTGAATTCTGCTAAACTTAACTACTATCGCTTTAACAAGACTAATATTGCCATCCATAAACGACTATTACTCTCAACTAAACGACTATTCTCTCAACTAAACTACCACCTTAACTGAACGGCCATAATCTTCAACTGTTTCATCTCATCCGTCATCAAACTATTTTCTGCTCTTCACATCAAACTACGTACCCTTGTCCACAGTAGAAGGGGATACTTTTGTCCACTATCAAAGCAAGTATATATGCACCGCTTTAGTACTCGCCTCCGCGCTTAGACCACGTTTCACATCTCTGGCCTTCAACTAGAAGCCCCTCCCGTAATCAAACCAACCAAGGACGGCCATTAATCTATGAGCTATCATCCAATTTATCTGAGCACTAATATGCACATTCGACTGGCCAAGAATCAATTCCAATCACTTGTTTGGCAAATAAAAGTATCTGAGGATCTTTCAGTTTTTAATCGCTTGTGTGTTATAAAATCATCTGAGAATCGTTCAAATTTTGTCCCTTGTTTGTGTGATGAAATCATCCGACAATCTCCACAATGGATCTGCGCACTAATCTCGCAATTACAACTACGGCTACCCGCAATTCACTACCATCTGGATTAACTGTAAACATCCCATCTCCATTCACCCCTCACGTTCACCGACTATATACACATAAAGATTCCCCAGAACATGAGGCTCACCACTAATGAGGGAAAAACCCCAATTCTTCAATCTCATCCAAACACTACCCATATCGTAGAAGCCGCACCCCATCCATCCAACGCCAGACCCCATGCAGCGCCGACGCACCCGCACTATTCGAGCCTTAATTACATGGACCTGTATATAGAGCATCCTGTGTGCACGCTTGCGGCCGGCTCAACTGCTCGCGCCTGCTCAATATGATTGGCTCCCCTCGCCAGCCGCGCCTAATATATGTCCGCGCGCAATTCTAGCCTACCTTCCAGCACCCAGTTTAATTAGCCGTGACCAGACTGCACCGGCATTTTTTGCTCAGAACGGGGGCCGAAAAAATAGAACGGCAAAGCTGGCATTGTACGAAGGCCCAGCAAGGCTCGCCTGACATTCCCGCCCCAGCCGCCGCGGCGCTGCGCCCCGGTTGCCACGCTTTTCTGCTCCTTTTTTTTCCTCTGTTAATTCTCGTGATTAGCACCATAGTAATTCATAGCCACCAGTAAAATGGCCAGAACTAAGCAAACCGCAAGAAAGTCCACGGGAGGCAAGGCCCCCAGAAAGCAGTTGGCGTCCAAGGCCGCCCGCAAATCCGCCCCCGTTTCGGGCGGTGTCAAGAAGCCCCACAGATATAAGCCCGGTACCGTTGCCTTGAGAGAAATCAGAAGATTCCAGAAGTCCACGGAGCTTTTGATTAGAAAGTTGCCCTTCCAGAGATTGGTCAGAGAAATCGCCCAGGACTTCAAGTCGGACTTGCGTTTCCAGTCCTCTGCCATCGGCGCTTTGCAGGAGGCCGTGGAGGCGTACTTGGTGTCGTTGTTTGAAGACACCAACTTATGTGCCATCCACGCCAAGAGGGTCACCATCCAAAAGAAAGATATCCAGTTGGCCCGGAGGTTGCGGGGCGAGAGATCGTAGGCCCGGGGCGGGTGTATCTCTGGACCATGTTGATGTTTTGTTTCTACTAGTTTGTGTTTTAAATGGAAATTTTGTTATTACTGGCCTGTAGCCTCGCTCTCCGGAAGTAACTGGTACATCCGAGAACAGCGGCTGTTCCGACCTGGAATAGAATTAATTCACCACTTCATCTGTGTTTTCCTGACCCAGCCCTAGAGTTGTATATTTTTTATCGAGACAGCACGCTATCATTTTTTGTTGCGGAATTCCTGCAATTCGGGGCGTCCTGCGACCACATAGAACGAGATTTTCACCCGGCTGAAATTCTTTGTAGACATCGGAAAAAAAAATCTCTGGTTCTCATAATATCTTCAAGGACCCTGAATCAACAATGCACACTATCGCTCGGCCAACACCTAGACCGTAGTCTCATTTCCACGGCCAATCTCTCACAAGACGCATGTGAAACAATTCCTAGTCTCGAGACTCAGCGAATTATTGTTGCATCTGAGCCACGGGAGTCATCTGCGCAACATATTTCGCGGCACATGGCTCACAATAACCAAAAGCAGCTTATCTAGGATTGCTTTTGGGCTCAGTACTGGTGTCTTCCGGGCCCAGAGAAGCCGGTGCTGGGTTTCCCTCGCACACTTCATCCGGAGAGTCGTTCACCGGCAGTTTAGCTTCTGAGCCGCTGGACAGGCCCGAGACTTGAAGATCACTGGCGTGCGCTGGATCTGCAGCAGGGTTTTTGGGCGTCTGCGGGCTCTCATATCCATACCCGTTGTGCGGGTTGAACGCACCGTGAGGAATAGCATGGGGCCCGTCAAGCGAAAGCGTGTCTAGTTTCTCTGCCAAGTGGTCGCGATGGTCGTGTCCGTTGGAGCCAGTGACTGAGCTGTTGTCCGGTACTTGGTCAAGCGACCTGGACCTCATGAGCGGAACTGCGTTCGAGTACAGCGCATACTCTGCAGGCGGCCCGTTCTCGTAGTCGACAGGCAACTCGGGGCTGGGTAGGTAGTGGTACATTCCAGGCGGCCCGACCGGGACCCCAGGCATGGGAGGGTACCCAGCTGCGGCATAGACGGAGCTTGGGTCGTACGCTAGGGACATGGCGGCCTGCATTTGCATCTGAGCCATTTGCTGCTGGTGCTGCTGGTGCTGCTGGAACTTTTTGTTGCTTGGGCCGATACGGCCCCAGCCGAGCCGCACGCGCCGGCCGCCAATGACGAAGCCCTCCATGCTATTGATGGCGTTCTGGGCCTCCTCCCGCGAGCTGTAGCGCACGAAGCCGCAGTTCTTGCCCGGGGGGAGCTTGATCTGCACAATCGCCCCGAACGGCTTGAAGAGAGTATAGAGCGTCTGGTCCGACACTTCCGCCAGAAGACCGCCCACGAACACGGTGGTGTTTCCGGAGTCCACATAGGGAGCGTGCGGCCCCTCGTTGCCCATCATGGGCGCCGCGTAGTAGCCTTGCATCGGGGACGATGCGCCCTGCTGGGCCGGCGGCATGTACATGAGCTCGCCCTGGGGCAAGTCGGGCACGCCCGCGTACGGCCCAGGCACGGCGTAGGCTAACCTCGGGTCCGGCAGCATTCTCCGCAACAGCGGCGCGGCGCGGGGCGTCGCGTTGGCCACACGGAGCGGGCGGCCGCCGAACCAGGCGCCGTTCATCTCGACCAAGGCGCGCTGGCGCTCGTGCTCGTCGGAGAAGCGCACGAAGCCGAAGCAGCGCGACTTGCCCGACACGGGGTCCGTCATGACGCGCACGGTGCGGATGGAGTTGGGGAACAGCTTCTGGAAGAACAGGAGCAAGTGCGCCTCGGTGGTGGCCGCGCTCAAGTCGCCCACGAACAACGAGTACTCCGGCAGCTCGACGAGCGGCGCCAGGAGCGTGGCGCCCGCGGCCCAGTTGAGCCGGAAGTACTTCTTCTGATTGTCCGGGTTGTCCGGGAACTCGCGCTGCGAGGGCATCGCCATGTCGGGCAACATCTGGCCGTTCAAGCCGAGCGCCTGCTGCGCGGCCTCGAACAGCGGGAACTCCACGAAGCAGTAGCCCGCGTGGGCCGGCGGCGCCGACGTCGCGCCCCCCTGGCGCGCGGACCGCGGGCGGATCACCTTGACGCCCACGTGCTGCCCGAGAACGTGCCACCAGAGCGCCACGATGGCGGCCTCGTCGAGCCAGGGGTCCAAGTCGCCCATCCAGAGCGTGCGCGGCGTCTCTGCGGCCGGGCCTGTGCCGGCGGCGTCGTGGCCGGCGGCTAGCGTCAGCTGCTTGGTGGCCACGGGCGGCGAAGGCACGGCGAAGCGCAGGAGCAACTCCTGCTCGTGCTGGTGCTGGTGCGACGCCGTCCGCGAGACCACGGCGGGGGCCCTGGCGCCAAGTGGCGGCTGGCTATGGCCGGCGGCGGGGCGGTCGTATGTGGCCGTGCTGCTGGGCGGCGCGGGGTTCTGGGAGGGGCTTGTCATGGCGGCAGTCGGGGGCGGTGTGCGGTGTCTGTGGGTTTGTGGATGTGTGCGGCCCACGGTGGAAGGGGATCTTTGGGATCCTTGGGGATCTATGGGGGTCCGTGGGGTGTGGTGGTGCCGATATATGGTCCTGGCAAAGGTATATCGGTGCTCAGTTGAGGGGTCGGGATCTGAGCCTGTATCTGGTCCTGATTCTTGGTCCTGGTATCTGGTCCTGGTATCGGGTCCTGATTCTTGGTCCTGGTATCGGGTCCTGATTCTTGGTCCTGCTTCCTGGTCCTGGTATCTGGTCCTGATTCTTGGTCCTGCTTCCTGGTCCTGGTATCTGGTCCTGATTCTTGGTCCTGGTATCTGGTCCTGATTCTTGGTCCTGATTCTTGGTCCTGGTTCTTGGTCCTAATATCGGGTCCTGATTCTTGGTCCTGTTTCTTGGTCCTAATATCGGGTCCTGCTTCTTGGTCCTGGTTCTTAGTCCTAATATCGCGTCCTGCTTCTTAGTCCTGCTTTGTAGTCCCAATATCTAGTCCTGCTTTCTGATCCTATTATCTGGTCCTAATATCTGGTCCTGGTTCTTAGTCCTGATATTTTTGGTCCTGATTCTGCGTCCCAATATCTGATGTTCGGGGCCTGGTGTTCTGGTGCGCCCCTGTCGCTCAGTGCGTGGCAGAGTGCAATAGCGGCGGTCGGACAACTAAAAAACGCCAAAAAAAACGCAGGTTTCGCGCCGGCTTCGGTCCGGTGTGCTGTGTCTGCTTGGAGGCTGTGGGCCGGCCCGGTCTCCCGTGTCACGTGGTTGCGGATCGCCGGCTGCGTGGCCTGGCGGCAAGGCTAGAAAGTAAGTATGCTGGCCTCAGCAAGCGGGGCGCCAAATGGCAGGGTCGGGTGGCACTGAAATACGGCGGGCCTCTGGAAGTCAGGGGCGGGCGGCGGGCGGCGTGGTATACAACGGCCGGCAAAACAACGGGTTTACAGCAAAGAAAAATGTGATTGTTGTGCCTTGGGCCATAAAAAACACCAGGGCCTCGTGGAATAGTATGACGCCCCGCGGCGTCTGCGCCAGGGCCGCGCCTGCCCCACAGTGCGGCCCTCTGTGGCGGAGGGCCGCAGAATGTCTGTAAGCAGGGCAGCAACAGCCGGCTGTGTTCTGCGACTCGGGCCCCGCGGCGCGGGCGTGGCAAAAGACGGCGAGATTGCGGAAAAGCCGGCGTATGGCTGGGATGGGGGAAGAGAAAAAGAGAAGCGACGAAAAGAGGGAAGAGAGAAGCGAGAGTGGAAAACTCAAAGAAAAAAATGAAGAGAGGGATGGGAGAATTATGGAGGGATGGGGAGAATTATGGAGGGATGGGGAGAATTATGGAGGGATGGGAGAATTATGAGGGATGGGGAGAATTATGAAGGAATGAAGGAAAATTATGGAGGGATGGGGAGAATTATGAAGGAATGAAGGAAAATTAAGAAGAAATGAAGAAAAAAATTAAAGATGGAGTGAGAAAAAGAATTAAGAAAAGAATGAGGAATATTTAAAAAAGAAGTGAGGAAAAGAACAACGAAAGGAATAAAGAAAGGAATGAAGGAAAATAATGAAGGAATGAAGAAGAAATAAAGAAGAAAAAAAATAAGAACGAATAACAAAATAAGAACGAATAACAAAATAAGAACGAATAACAAAATACGAACGAATAACAAAATAAGAACGAATGCCAAAAACAAAAACATAAACAAAGCACCCAGAGCTTAACTTAGACGACGGCAAAAGACTTGGTGGCTGGTATTGGCACCTGTCTGGAGGGCAAGGCTGAGCAGAGATATTGAGAATCCGGGGCGCGAAAAGCGTGCCGCAGAGGCAGGCCTGCTTAATCGGGAGTCGCGTGATTCGCGAGTGTTTGGCAGGCGGTGGGTGCAAATCGTTGTTTCGTGTTCAAATGGACGGGCACAGGGGGGCCGTGGCCCAGGGTTACCAAGAAAAACTTCCCGGGTTCGGTTTTCCGATTGGCGACACCAGACGGGTCGTGTGGTGCTTTGATGTTGCGTGGCTGGGATGCACAACTGATTTAGTGCCTTGGACAGGGTTTACTGAAGCAAGGAACAACCCGCAGCAGAACCGACAAAACGAAGCAACAAAAAAATAAAGAGGGGGACAACGCAAATAACCATTAAGCCATATGATGCAGGAACGTCGGCCCGACGGCTTGGTTCACAGAGGCCACCAACGTTCATGGCTTCGTAGGACCCTTTCTAAATTCATAGTTGAGTATCGTATATGTACTATATCCCGAAGAAGAACGCTCTCGGGAATGACAGACATCTGGATTGTTCTAATTAAAGAATAAGACGACAACACAGTTTACGTAAAACTTGGCTGTATCCCCGACATGACGAGACACATTCAAAAGCTTGTCAGATTTTCAAAAGCCTTCGTCATTGAACATAGAACTAATGATCAGGCCGAGAGTAGGCACTCACAATTACTGCTGAACTCTAATTATGGACCCAACAGGTGCAAACTTTTAATACAATCTAACGGTGTCTGCAAACGGGTCAACCCATTTACATGATGCAGAGAGGCCACACGCATTCCGTCGGTGTAGGCAGTGTCAATCTAGAATCACGGTTTCGTGTAATAGGGCAATATCAGCAGTAGTTGTAAGGTTCTTTGCACCGGCGGGGATTCAACGAAGCGGGAATAAAAAAGCTGTTGACGCTGCAGATCGCGACGGGCCATCATTTTGGAGGCTCTGACTGAGAAGTGGTGTTATCCGGCATCTTTTCTCGATGAGAGGCCAGGTTCCTGTCCCGCGGTCTGCATAGCTGGAGGAAGATGACCGTCGCGTGTAGCCTGTTGTGACTTTTTGCTGTTTCGTTTATGCTTTTGTTTTCTTTCCGTATATCATCTGTTTGTTTGTTGTTCTTGAAAATGCAATATATAATTAATGGGAGTGCGGCGATGTTGTGCATTCGTCGTGCTATTGTTTCTGAGGGTGGCGTCTTTCAGCCATGTACCCAATAAGCTTGCCCCGGAGAATACGTTTGGGACTATTTTTTATATGACTCACTAGGTAGAAAACCTAGGGGCGGGCTTGAATGCATTCACTGGCTCTGGAATTGCCAGGCGTACGCCAAGCATGAGATGCCGTCCAATGATAACCGATTCAAGGTGCACTCCTAGATCCACTATTAGGATTGTCGAACAGTTCTCAAGCGTTCATGCCTCCAATCACAAGCGGGAACACCATTCTACCCTATCACCAATACTTTTGTTTCTGAGATCCACAGAATCTCTTCCATGCACTCAACTCTAATCCAGAACAGGAATATATATATTCTTGGACGCTGATACAATGTTTCTGATGTATCAGTCTTCGTGTGGCAAATGTAGCGCAATCTTTGATCTCGGCCACACTCAATTGGTAGCATCTTTTGATTGAAAAGTTACCAAGCTGGTCTACAAGAAGACACTTGCCAGTAAAAACCCTTGTTTGACGAGTTTAGAAATTCGCAACATTTAAAGGTGCTAGTAGAGCTTTACTGTTAAACCAGCTGCGTTTACACAAAACGGACAGATGTTCATCAATGAACCTCAAAATGCCATGTGTCAATACTTGTAGACACAGAACAACCTGCTGAAAAGGATATTCATAAACGATTGGATTTCAGTACTTACCCCCATTAGTATGACCCGCCAAGAACAACCCATTCTATATGTTCGCTTACACCTTGCCCTGGTGTGGTCTGCAGGAAAAACATTGGTGAAACGAGCTCTCTATTACTACCATAAACGATTACTTGGCACATTCCTTTTCTTTTACATAGGATTACGTAGCTCATATAGAAGACGGGACTATTGGCGAAAGTAGTGCTTCCCATCTCCCGTATGGGGTGCATCCAATTATCTCATTACATGGCTCAACAATGCATATTCTTATTTTATACGATTAGAGTAAAGGTCAAATTTTCGGTGGGCTAGACGTTGAATCTATTAGTATTCTTGAGCAAAACATCACATTTGATTTCGAAAAGGGCTATGTCCTTATGAGGAATTTGATCAAGTACGTCACGATTACTATTGTGTGCGACCCGAAAGACACCCCAATTTTCAGACATTGTCCGTCCTGGGATATTGGAGCTCATTAAGATACAAATTAGGAGCTAAAGGGTATGAAGGATTACTCTTTTTCTTCTTTTTTGTATGTTTTTCTACTCTGACTCTCGAGATCAGCACACACTATTATTGTTTCATTGTCAGTCATTCTTTTGCTGCACGCATGAAGGACTATTGCTTTCTCGTGCACGCTTGTTTCCCTAAGTTCTCAGACATCATTCATTATTTCTGGCCAACCTGTATTAAAAAACATACATGCAATAGACATGATGGTTTCTTTCAAATGATTTTAAAAAGGGCCAACGCGGTTCTTGGTGTATATACGTGTGAAGTATGAATAGAGGGGGTTGTGACGGATAATTCATTCATGGTATATTATTTTTGTTGTATCTGAATATATCATGTGATTTGTAACATCATACGTCAATATTTGAGGTTTGGCTCACTAACAGATGGAGTAAGATGGTGAGCTAGCCAACATACTAAATGATTTAACTATCTTTTTGTAGACCATGATGAATGTTGGGTTGGTGGTGTATTAATTCATGGGACATGAAGCATGGTATGCTGGATGAATGAAAGAATATTGATGCAGTCCAAGATATAAGACAAACCAGCGTCATCATTCTATAGCTGATTATACATATCTTCAAGGGTATATCAATTGCTTTATTTTAAAACTCCTCGATTATGCCGTCGTTTTTGTTACAAATAAACTATCAACACACCACTTAACATTTTGAATATTCAAATCAAGCTAGTCAGTAAGATCTGCTGATTAGATGCCTCTGATATCTTGCACCATATATTTCAAATTACTACTCTACACAGCCCACTATTCACTTAATAGGCCTTATCCTTTTTGTATCTTACTCTTCTAGAATGAATGTTTGAACTCGGGTGAAATTTCTACTCTTTAACTCTTCAAGCAGATAATCTGCAGCGGAGTTCAAATTCGTTGTATTTGATGTACTTTAAAAAACCCAGGGGTCCCGGGGGAAGTGATTAAGATATTCAAAAACTTTCAACGACTAGTGGATGAATGAAATAACACTACAACAAGCATCTAGTCGAATCACGTCATTTCAAGGCATGTACACCATCGCCTTACACCTCCTCTTGCCATCAAATCTTTTGTCACCTATCACGCGAATTCATGAACCAATCACAGCATCGACTATTTTCTCAATATTAGACCAAAGAAGCAAGTACTATTACAGGCAGATACGCCATTACCGTGTTTGTGAAAAAAAGCTCGCCAACAATTTTTATGATATTGTCTTACTTTGCGTCCCTGGCATCCATAAAAACAACATCATCTGTAATATCTTGATCATCTCGAAAATGCTTCCACCAGTATATATCATCCATCACTCCAGTGAGACACCTCCTATCATACCTAATACCTTTCAACCCTATTCTCTCCCCATACACATACCAGTCATTACGGAATACTGCTTTCATGCCTTTGCACTATCCCTTGATTTTCGCACTAATTATCTCATTCACTCTCAATCAATTTTCCTGTCGGAATATGCACTGGAATTGTGCCTTCATCTCACAAATGAATAAAATATATATCTCTCGTACGGCACATCATACATCACCAACGTCATATCATGGCTTTTCCAATTGGCTAGGACTGTCTTCCCGAAAATTTAACTTCAGATAATCAAGACATAATTTTTCTCAAATTCTCGCAAAACAGCATAAGTATTACGCAAACATGATTGACAACTTCCCTAATAGCTACTCCATCGGTATCACATCTATCATACAGCTGTCCCACCATCGGCTCATCAGCTCTCAAAGAAATAAATAAGGTATTTATGAACAAGATGTCGTATGCCAGAAAGCCAGAGATCAGAGTGCCTCATATCAGAATGTCACATAACAGTACGCCCATGTATCAAATACCCCATTTATCAAGTATCTCATATATCCCCTTATACACCATATGATAAATACATGAACCAGAAAGACGCCAACTAGAACACAACACTCTATCAGCCACTTGCGGGCCACGCCACCATGGACTTCCTAAAATTGATGGTCTCATCGAATTTATCATTCGCCATCTAATGAATCACATCTTATTCCATACCATCTCTATTGTGCCAACTTTCTTCCAGCTGCCATACGTCATCGTTTATACCCCAATTTTTGTATACCATCTCCAATACACCTCCTTCAGTACACGACTTCTTCCATGGCCATTTTTTAACTACAATAATCTCATCATCATCGATTAACGCACCTTTTTCTATACGATCTCTTCAATAACCCATTTTCGAAATCCATCGTGTCACATTCCCTAAATCACAATCTCTCATACACCATCCAATACCTCAATTTCTTGACCATGTGTTCATTTCACCACTTCTTCAGGGTTCCATTTCTTTATTTCAGTTCTTTAAATACCACAATTCCCACCCCAATTTTTAAGTCACAAATTCTTTTGTTACACACATTCTATATCACAATATCTTTGATACAGCATTTGATACACAATCTAATACGCAATCAAATACACCACTTTCTAAAATCTCAAATCTTTAGTGCTTATGCTACTAATTTCAATGCTAATACTATTAAAATAACAATTCAAAGTAAAACTACAATTGGACAAACTATTGAAACTCTAAATAAACCATTATTCATATGATATTGATGAGCCAGAAAACTGTCATACATTACCAATAATTGAATCATTTGTTAATCGTTCAAAATGAATACTTTGGTCAAATTACTTACGAGTATTAGTTATATATTTTCTGCAATTTTTATCAGACAAATAAGTAAATAATAAATTCATGACTTTTAAACCAAAGCTAAAGATAAATATAGACCTAAAATAAAAGATATATATTCAAAAATGAAACTTAAAGTAAGTTCAATAAAACTAGTTAATTGTGGTAAACCCAAATATAAATGGAAAATAACATGATCTCTATAATAATCTAAAAAGATACTATATCAAGCTAACATACTTATGAGAATAGACAATCATAAATTTTCATGTATATATATAAGGACATATATTGCTGCGTGTATCATTAAAAAAATTAAGTACGATAGTTTCAATACCCCCTCCAATCCATCATCCCCAATCTAGTGCATCATCCAATCTAACGTCAAAATTCTCCACTAATGTTCAATACCCCAAATCGCCATTTATACAACCTTTTTATTCCACATGTATCATACGGCCTTTTATATACCCAATCTATGACACCTCACTTTATTACACCTTCCATTACACCATCCAAAACCCTAGTCAATAGCCATCCAATTTCCCCCATGCTATCCCCCAATTCCCCACTTCACCAATTCTGTGATGCCACAAATCTCTATCCCATCTTAATACCCCATTTTACTACACCCATTTCATCCTCATTTTATTACACCCATTTTTCAACCCACCATCTAAGACACCGTCCAATCCCCCATTCAAATACACAAACCAATACCCTAACCTACACCATCCAGTTTTCGCCGCCCAAATCTCCATTTCACCAATTCTTTAATATTTCATGAATTTATTTCACCATTTCTTATACCAGATTTCTCGACAGCCCGATGTTAACTCGCCAAGTCTTTACCCCTTTTTGTCACACCCCTTTTATAACATACCATCTTCAGTACACCATTTAATACACCATTTAATACACCATTTGATACGAACACACCGTGCAATACACCATATCACCATACCTAAAACAACAACTTCCAAAATAACAATCTCTAACACACCACTTTATAATACCGCAATATTAATACGCAACTTGTTCAAAGCCCTATCCAATACCCAACCCAGCACACCATCCCCTCAATTCTACATTTCACCAATTCTGTAATACCCCAAATCTCCATCTCGCCATTATTATACCCCATTCATATTCCATCCTTATTTCACCGCATTTCACTACGCCCATTTGAATACGCCGCATTTTACTACACCCCATTTTACTACACCCCATCTAAAACATCATCCAATACCCAATCTCGAATACAAGCCCCATCCAGGTCATCCCCATCGAATACCTCAAATATCCCCTTCACCAATTCCTTAATACCCCATTACTTTATCTCACCATTTTTATACAACCTTTTTTATACCTTGTTATATAACCCACCTTCTAGTACACCATCCCAGTACTCCATTCTCTAAAACCCCAGACGTCTATTTGACCATTTCTCTAATACCTCATTTCTTTATTTCACCATTTGATATACCATGTTTATATACCTAATTTATTGCACCCATTTTCTAAAGTACCATCCAATACCCCATCCAATACCCCATCTCAGTACACCATCCATCACACCATCCATCACACCATTCAATACCCCATCTAATACCCCATCTAATACCCCATTTTTCAAAACCGCAGATCTTCATCTCCCCATTTTAGACCGCATTTATATTCCGCGTTTTTAATGCCCCATCTTATTGCACCCACTTTATAACGTACCATCCAGTACTCCATCCTGTACTCCATTTTCGAAACGCCATCTCGCCAATATTAAACCACCTTTATGTTCCACATTTATTTTACCGCGTTTATTTTACCGCATTGTATTACACCCATTTTATTATACTCATTTTACTACACCTATTTTACTACACCCATTTTATAGCACCCCATTTATACCCTTTTCACGACACTCCAGTCCCCCATCTCAGATACTCAATCAAATACACAATCAAATACACAATCAAATACACAATCAAATACACAATCAATACACAATCAATACACAATCAATACACAATCAATACACAATCAAATACACAATCAAATACACAATCAATACACAATCAATACACAATCAGTACCCCATCCAAAACACCATCCAGTGCAGCCCCCTAATTTATTCCCCCCTCCCTCAATTCCAGTTCACCCCCAATAGCCCTCCTCCACACTACTCCCCCAGCGCCAGGGCCGATTTGTGCCGCGCCTGCACAGGCCCCCCGCGGTATACATAAACACCCCAGATCCCGCACCCGCGCCGCGCGCTCCCTCCTACTACTTCTTCTTTCCCTCCTCCATCCCTCGTTTCTTTCTTCTGCCACACTCCTTTTTTCCCACCGCCCCCTTTTTTTTTAGCCGTGCGCCATGGCCATCCCGCTCGACCCGGCCGCCGCAGCCTCCGTGGGCCGTTTTCTCGACGACACGCGGCTCTCGGCGCCGTCGCCCGGCCCGCCCCACGCGCCGGCCCTGGCCCTGGCTGGAAGCGCCCTGGAAGACGCCCCCACGCCCGGCGAAAGCCGCGATGGCGGGCCTGCCGTGCCCGTGCCCGCCGCCGCCGACGACGCGTACAAGCGCCTGCTCCGCTACGTGCCCAACACGCGTTTTGCCGCGGCCGCCCTGTCGCCACGAGCCTCGCTCGCGGGCGCGTCCGTGCCCAACACGTTCAAACACAAATCGCACCCCAACGCCCGCACCAAGCACCACATCGGCGAGCCGCCGCACCCGCCGGCCGCCTCCGGCCACGCGGACTTCGCCGCGGCCGCGCTCGCGGGGCACGGCGTGCAGACGTCCACGGTCAAGGCCGCGCCCGCCGGCGCCGATTTCGCCGCGGACTTGGACCGCCTCGCGCTCCTGGACCGCGCCGCCACGCCGTCGTGGATGCCGGCGGCGCTTGACGCGCGCTGGCCTGACCCGGCGCCGCCGGCAGACTGCACCGCGGCGCCCGCACACGGCGCGGCCCCATATCTTACTCAGTCGCCCGCCGCCGACGACAACGATAACGACGACAACAACGTGCCGCTTGCGCTGCTCGGCACCGGCTCCAACACGTGCGTGCACCGGCCGCAGGCCAGCGGCGGCGCGCCCGCCACGCCCATGTGGAAGAAAATGGCCGACCAGTACCGCCACGCGCACGAGCAGGCCGGCGAGCTGCCCCTCCGGCACATCTTCCTGCCCAGCGGCTCGTCGCCCGCGCTGCCGCGTGCCGCGCACCCGGCCGGCGGCCACGCGCTGACGTCCACGGTGTTGACGCCCGCCGCCACGCGCGACTCCGAGCTCCACTTGACCCAGCAGCAGATCCACCAGCTCGAGGGCTTGTTGGAGCAGGCGCGCGGCCAGCCGGACGACCTCCCGCTCCGCGGCTCGCCGCTCAAGCTCTTTGGCAGCGAGTACGACACGTTCACCAAGGCCATCTTGACGCGCTTCGTCGACCAGGCCCGCTCCACGGCCAACAGCGTGCAGCGGGCGCCCGCCCCAGAGCCCGTAGAGCCCGCGCCGTCCGCGGAGCTCGCGCCCAGGCTCAACATCAAGCACTTCACCCGCGCGGGCGACTACACGGACCACGACTTCATGCAGAATGCCGACCACGTGTTTGCCCATCTCCAGAGGAAGGGCTTGCCGGCGGACGCCGCCCGCCAGAATCAGCCGCTCCTCTCGCACACCCAGACCACCGCCACGTCCACGCCCAAGCTCAAGCCTCGCGACTCGCTGGACATGTACTCGTACTCCACGCGCTCGCACAGCGACCTCCCACGCACCCGCCTGTGCTCACCGCCGGCCGCGCCCAGCGACTACACCGCGCTCGACCGCTCCTCCTGGGCCTCCGGCGCCCGCCTGTGCTCCACGTTGGCGCTCTCCGACGACCACGTGGACCACGCGTCGTATACCTTCGACGAGCTCTCGGACCTCGCCTCCCACTCCTCGGAGCATTCCTCGCCAGTCCAGCCCGCACGCAACGCTCGTTCCACCCGCTTCCATAGCCCGTCCCCGCGCCTGGACGACGCGCGCGGCGACTTGTTTCCCCTTTTCGAGAGCTCCATGACTTCCGTCAAGCAGTTCATGAAGCCCCCCAAGCGGCGTGCCGCCGCCTCTACCCGAGAGGCAAACGATACGCGCGAGCCCGCTGCGGAAAATCTCATCAAGTGGAAACGCGCCTCGCAGCTCAGGCTCCTCAGTGCATCTTCCAAGGCTAACCTCCCCGACAAGACCCATCACTCCAACAAGACCCGTCACTCCAATAAGGCAAACCACTCCAACGCAAACGCCCCTGGTGGGGCAGACTCTCACTATGTCAAGGGCACGGTCAAGCCAGGTGCTTTTCCAGGCCAGTATGGCGACATGATCTTCGACGCCCAGGAAAATATGTGGGTCTCCAACGACAAAAAGAACGATGTTGGGGGGAGCCTTGATTCCATCGAGGACTTGTTTTCAGACTGCGACGCGCTGAAACTGCATCTTCAGTCTAGGCCCGGTGTGCTTGTCCAGCCAGACAAAGCCAAAGACAGGCGCCCACTAGAAGTCTCGTTTCAGTTCCCCGCGAGTGAAAACAGCCCCGTCACTAAAACGCATGCAGCCGACCTCACCAGTGTCTCGGAATGCGGCAACGCCACCTTTTCGCAGTCCAACAAGGAGCTCGTCTCGCTTATAACCGGGTCCACAAATCAGATTGTGTGGGACACCATCACCTCCATCGACCTATCAGACAAAAACATCGACCGCGTGGAGAATTTGGAACAGTATCTCCCCGCGGTGAAATCAATTGATCTTTCGAAAAACAGGCTCAGGTTTATCGAAGGTCTACCGCTGGCCTTGTTCGAGCTTGATGTCACAAGCAATAGCTTGAGCGACATGGCGTCATTCCACAAGTTCCACGATCTCCAAGTCGTGAATGCGTCTTTTAATTCATTCCGGTCGTTCTCTTGCTTGAGTAATAATGTCAACTTGACCAAAGTCAACTTGATGGGGAACCAAATCGAGTCGCTTAATGGGTTTCCTGCCATCCACGCATTGATTTCTTTGGACTTAAGCCGCAACCACATCCGAGGCCATGTTCATCTAGAAAATCTACAATTACCAAATCTCAAGGAATTGAACCTTTCAGAGAATCTTATATCAAACATCACAGGAATTGAGTCGCTTGAAAACCTTCGGATTCTCAATGTAAACGAGAATAGAATTGTGGCATTGAGCTGTTCCAGAACTCATAGGAGGCTCAAAAAGCTTTTGTGCAAATTCAATGACTTGAATGAACTCAAGCTTGATTGCTTTCCTTTCTTGAGAATCTTGCGGCTCGACGGGAACTCGTTAGTATCGATCACAGGACTCAAAAAGCTCGAGCATCTTCATGAATTGTCGGCGAAAAGTCAAAGCAGCCCACAGATTGTGGAAAGTTTCTTCAGGGCAGCTGCAGACGTACCATCTGTTGATTTTTCCGGAAACTCTTCTTTGGTTCAGCTCTTGCCTAATATCTCTGTGGACGCATTTTACAACATAAACCAATTGAATTTGTCTGCAGTGGGACTTTCTATATTGCCGGGCGATTTCAGTGAGAAATTCTTTAATGTACGAGAGTTGAATCTCAGCTTCAACAAGTTGAGCGATCTCAAAGCCCTTCAAAATCTTAAACAACTCAAGAAACTTCAAGTCCTTAGTAACAACATCACGAAGATGGAGGATATCTTGACTGGTTTGCAGAGGTCCAGGAAAACTTTGAAGTCACTCGACATGCGCTTGAACATTATCAATTTTGAATTTTATCCCTACGTATTCAGTCCACAAGAACTACAGTTGGTTAAAGAGAACCATGGAAAATCTGCAGCAGAAAGCCCAATCCCCATTCAAGCTTTGGAAGATATTGAAAGCTTCACTATCCACTACAATGCATTGAGTAAAAGCAGAAATGAATGGCAGGCTAGAGATAACGAATTCTTCAGACAAATGAGAAAAGAGGGAAAGGATAGAAGGTTAAAAGAAAGGCTCGACTACGAGACAATTCTCATTGGATACTTTCCGAACCTCAAGGAATTAGATGGTAGTGATGTGCCTCATGAAAGACGCGCTGCGTTTGGCAATCTCACTGGGCAGTAAAGCGGAATTGATGCGCACCAATTTCCAAAACGGGTACTATCTTTCTGATTATTAACCAGTCTACTTTTTGGACCTGTTCAACTAGTTCTTTTTTTTGGCCAAAGAAAACATGGTGTTGTCAACCCGAGTCAGCCTTCAATGGCTCCCAGACGAGCCTCAAGAATGCACTAATACAATGGTTTTCACTTCGCTCAAAGACCATTTTGTCGATGTGCGAATCTATAAAGACCAATATCCATATAGGCAATCTGGGGATACACCAGAGAAATTCGAGAATGTGTTTCAGTGGGTGATAGTGGGTGATGAAGAAGAGATTGAAGGCACTAACCAAATCCAATTCAACCACACGGTCAACTCGCAGGAAATTATGAAATCTTTGGTCTCGGGAAAGCCGTTATCCGAATGCCGTAGTGCGCCCGATATCGGTTCTTTTTGGGCCATAGAGGGGACCGAAGACCGCAAAGAAACCGGCAGTATGGCACATCCTGATACGGGAATAAAAACTGAGTATGTGGAAATTTGGCGGTCTTTGAACCCAAATGCCTCTTCAGTGAAAAGAGAGGTGCGTGAAGGGTATGATGTAACAGGGCTGGCGACGCAAGACGCGCCGGGTCCCGTCATGACCTTTGATTTAAAAGCTGACGGTTTCATCGGAAGAATCATCAGATTGGGGAATTGGGTGCAGGGAGTTATATACGAAGAAAACGAAAGAAGATTCCCCATTAGTGTTATGCGCAGTTTCTGGGACGCGGACTCTGGCGTCTGGCAAGAACTTGTGGGATATGGAAAACACGAATTTCCAGAAATATACAAGAGCGAAGGGACATGCCGACTTCCAGGGTCCTGGGAGCTTGTTGAATAAGCTAGGAAAAGGGCAATTCGTGCAAGTTTTTAGTGGCGTGGCAAATTTCGGAGAATGGTAGAGTTGACGTGGGTGCGGTTTCATTCGCGGAATATGTCCATATCAGGCAGGCAACGTCCGCTTGCTTCTGACAAGACATCGCGCTCCCCTGATAACAAGGCTCAGAAACCACGAAAGCGCCCACCAGAAAGTAAAGCGCAACGACAATGTCAGGAGAGAGTTGGTATGTACATGCTCGAAAATACACTTGATCGCCCCGAGCACCCGCTAACAACGCCAGGTTATTTATCTTCGCCGTGATTGTAAATGCGGTGAACTTGTTCTCGCAGGTGTTCTTCACCATCATGTACTCGGACTTGGAAAGTGACTACATCAACCCAATCGAGTTATGCCACAAATTGAACCCTTGGTTTATTCCTGAGGCTGCCGTGCATGGTGTCTTGACCATGCTTTTCATAGGCAACGGCTTTTGGTTTGTGTTCTTGTTGAACTTGCCTATGTTGGCCTACAACGTCAACAAGTTTGCCAAGAAAAACCACTTGTTGGACGCCACGGAGATTTTCAGGACGTTGTCCAAGCACAAGAAAGAGAGTTTTGTCAAGTTGGGCTTCCATTTGTTGATGTTCTTCTTCTACTTGTATAGAATGATCATGGCTTTGGTGGGCGACGAGTAAACCATGCCACGCGCCCTCCGTGCTTGTCTTGTGCTGGATTATCTTGCTCTTGGAATGAGCCACAAGTTCTGTCACGGATTGTTTGTGCTCTTCGCTTTAGCTAGGTGTGCATACCCTCTAATCACTAGTTCTGCACCAGGCACCTGAATGTAGGAGGAGCACTGGGTTTTCGGCGCCATTTCAGGTAAATCACATTCATGGGTCAGGACGCTGTGCTTTCATGTTAACAGAGTATGGCCCTATTGCCAATGTGCCTGGAGCGTTTATATAGTCCGAATAAACAGTTCTCGTGGAGACCAACTGAAAGGAAGGGTCAGAAACGCTTGTAAGTAATATTAGACAGTTGGAGTATCCTAATGTTCCTGGCTGCTTGCAGAACTGCAGGCTAGCAGAATCTGGAGCGGCATGGCCGGCCCGTATATGCTGCTTGTGATTTCTGGTAGTTTGTAGCGGAACTGTAGTGACACGAACTGTGGCTACTGCAAGTCTAATATGCTGGGCCTTGAAGTATGAGATTGTCTAAATGCTGCTTCTTTAGATATATGATTTTCTAAATGCTGGTTCTTTAAATATATGATTGACTAGATGTTGATCCTTTCAATATATGATTGTCTCGATACTGGTTCTTTAAGTATATGATTGTCTAAATGCTGGTTCTTTCAATATATGATTTTCTAAATGCTGGTCTTTAAATATATGATTGATTGATTAGATGCTGGTCCTTTAAATATATGATTGACTAGATACTGGTTCTTTAAGTATATGATCGTCTCGATACTGGTCTTTCAATATATGATTGTCTCGATACTGGTCTTTCAATATATGATTGTCTAAATGCTGGTTCTTTAAATATATGATTGTCTCGATGCTGGTACTTCAATATACAATTATCTCGATGCAAGGACACAACATGGACTGGATCCGTTGCTGGGCGAAAACGGGTGGGTTTCTGGACAGAGGGCCCGAGGCTTGGACGGCAGGGGCAGAGCCAAAGAATGTTCAAGCGCACGCTGCTCTCTCAGAGGCCCAGGAAGTGCCCGGCCCACCGGCCACGGCTCGTATCGCCATGGGACATATGGGCTGCCCCAAGCCAGTGAACCAGTGATACAGCCAGTTGCCAGGCCCACCAAGGGGCCCGGCTCGGGCAGTCCCATCCACCCCGCCAGTCCCATCCACCCCACCACTTCGTCCAGCCTCTTGTCAGGTGCAACGTGCCCAGAGCATGGGACCTCGCGTCGGCGCGTGGCGCGGCGCATCTGTCTACTCTGGGGCCCTGTCTAGCGTCCGCAAGAGCGCCGCATTGACGCCCCGGAGCTGAGCCAGGAGCCCGGTTCTCGGGTGCACAAGCCGCGAGGCGTCCTCCAACAGACCGAGCACAAGCCCGCTGCGGCTGGCCTGTTCCGGCGCGGCGCGGCGCACCGCCGCCTTCAAGCCGTGCAACGAGTTGGCCATGGCCATGAACTCCGCGTGGCTCGCCTTGGAGTCGGCAAACGCCCTGCGCTCCTGCGCAAGCTCGCGGCCCACCGCCGCGTGGTTCTTGCGGAGCTCGAGAATGCTGCGGCGCACGTCGTTCTTGCGCCGCTGCACGTCGCTGATGTCCTGGGCGATGTCCAGGATGGCCGCGTGCTGGTCCATCAAGTGCGCCAAGTGGTACTTCAAGTGCGCCTTGAACTCCGTGAGCACCACGTTCTCGCTCACCACGTCGTTCTGCGCGGGCCGCGGCGCGTGCTCCTCGACAAACTGCTGGAGCACGTCCAACGTGGTGAGACTCACGCGTTTGGCCCGCGTGCTGGGCGTGGCGAGCCGCCGCGCCTCGACGAGCAACGCCCGCTGCCTGCCGTTCGGCCGGGCGCCCAACAGCACCGCGTCACCGCGGGCCGCGGGCTTGCTGCTGACTTTGTGGGGGAGCACCAGCGCCAAGCCGAGCGCCTGCAACGGCCGCGGCGACTTGAAGAGGGCCGCCGGGTTGGGCACGTGCGCCTGGCGCAAGCTGGGGTTGTCGACGATCCGCCGGGACCGCCGCGTGACCACGGCCACCTTTTCTGTCCGCTCCTCTTTTTTGGGCCGGCCGCGGCGCCGCTTGGCTTGGGCCGCCGGCGCTGTGCCGTCGGTGTTTTCGCGCTTGACCGACACCTGGTCTTGGCCGTCTTCGCGCTTGACAGACACGTGGCCTTGGTCGTTTTGGGCGGGTCCCAGCACGCTGCCCAGGTCCGAGGTCTCGAGCGCGAGGCTGGCGTCGCCCGGCTCGGCGCTGGATTCCGCTTCTGCAGTCAGCGGCTTCTCTTCAGCGAAGAAAGGCTCGATGGCACTGGCAGGGCTGTCGTCGTCGTCGTCGTCAGAGCTGAACGCGAGTTTCCTGTTTTCGTGCCGCGGCTCTGTTTTCGGAAGCGCCGGCGGTTTGGGCGCCGCGGCTGCTTCTCGGGCCGGGCGTCTGCTTTGGGATTCTGAACGTGCATGCTGTTTCTCGGGGAGTCTGTCTTGAGATACTGAAAATCTATGCTGAAGCTCTGTAGCTTGTTCGTGCCCTGGGGGTCTGTCTTGATGTCTTGTTAATATGTCTTGATGTCCTGAAATTCTGTCTTGATGACCTGTAAATCTGTCTTGGTCTCCTGGAAGTCTGTCTTGATCTCCCGTAGCTTGTTCATGACCCGGCACCAGGCCCAAGTTCCGCAGCATCGGCCGCGGTTTCGGCGTTTCCGGCGAGGCTATACTGAACTCTTCTATCTTGATGTCACGTGTGCTGCGCTGTTAGAGGCGTTCGGAAATTTAAATCCAGCATATGCCGTTCGGCCGTACGTACCCTGAGCCCCGGACACGGGCCTGGCGCTTCTCCCATTTCTCGTCCAGCACCAGCATTCTGGACTGGTCTGCGGAAGTTGTTTACAGTTGATTGCAAAAGTGCGACTGTGACAGGCGCGTTGGGTACGGGCCATTGGGAGCCCGGGTGCAGCGGCCTAATAAGGACGAATTTGGGCGGTTTTTTGCCGGGCTCTTCTCGGGCAGAGAGCGGGCTTGGCTAAGTGGGGCGCTTTCCTCCGGGCATGCAATCTGCGATTTTTGGCGGGGCTTTTTTTGTATGAGAATTGGCACCTTTGGAGTGAGCTGGGTGTTTTAGGAAAACTGCGAATGGTGCGCGGGTGCAAAATACGGCACGCGCTCCGAACATAGACTTCATGGGGCCGAACATAAATATCGTGAGGACCTCAGCCAGAACGCCAGCAGCATTTCAAAGAGCTTCATAATTTGTCTTTGAACAAATTAAGAAAATAGCGCTACTTGCTACAACGCCATACTTCTACTTGCCGTCTTTCTCTTTCGGCCTGAATGTGGAGTTTATCACTGCTTTTGAGCTGACGGGGGCGGTTACTCAATCTGCAAAATTGCACGATGCAAAGCTGGGCACAAACACAATTTCTGGCTGTGCGTTCTTCGACCCTCCCAAGTATCTCAGTTTCGAAGTTCTGAGCGTTTGGTACAACACCTAGCATGCGGTCTACTCTCCAAAAGCAAGAGCTTTCTGTTCTGACCTCGAGATTTTCTGTTTCTTTGGGAGCCGATTCTAAAGGATAGTCGGTATTTTTTTGAACGACACCAATGGGAGACATCACCAAAGCTTGAATCGGTATCTCTTTCTTCTCCCAGAAGCCCCAGCTAGTAGTCCATCTATCACCTGTTGCAAGAGAATCGGCAGAATGTAATACAGTTCTCTCAGCATCTTGATATGAGTTTACCCTAGCTATTTCCAAGGCAAAATATGTCTGTTATGCGACAATATTTCACTTCATTCGCAAGCAAAATGACATATACAGCATCCGTATATCTATGCTGTCCTAGCAAACAAAAGCGTTTTTGAGAGCTGCAGTCTGCCACCGGGGTAAAACCTAACAACGTGGTCTTTTCTGGATGAAGTATAGTGCGCCATAGCCCAAGTGGAATCTGTTTCTTGATCGCTAGATGAAGCATAGACACTGTACCTGATGGATCTTTCTCGTCAGCATACTCATTTCTGGCCGCACTTTTCGTTTTTCTCAATCGACGTAGGTCCACCCAGTATGCCAATCCTACATCCTAAACTGAGTTCCATGTTAACATATGGTACAGGTTTTCAATTGTTGAATAAAGCATCTCTTTCGGGTTGCCAGGCACAGCTCAGTTGATGTCTCCTATTCTGTTCATATGAGGACTTGTAATATTCAAGCCCACACATGAACTGTATTCCATTAAAATCCAATGAAGTTCGTAAAGGGGCAAGTTAGTTGAAGGAATTGCCAGGTTTCTCAAGACAAATTCATGCGAAAACATTGGTGGGCGCGTCTTCCAGGACAGCTGAAGCTATCAAATGCTTGACTCATCACCACAGAACATAGGCTTGGAAGCAAAGCTCACGATTATCAAAAGGAAAGAGGTGGGTTTTGTTTGGCAGTGCGAGCTTCAAGTGTTCTCCAGTCTATGTGGAATGAACCATGGCCGGAAAGAGACTTCCAGTTGTGCCGGGAAATCGAAGAGCACGCTCAAGCGGCTCTACAGATTTGTCATGGTATTCGGCAAGTATTCACAAGCTGGATTAGTACCTACAGGTTCATATACTCCTCCTACGTCCTCAAAGACGGCATCGCAGAGATGTCTCCCTGATTGACATCTAGATCTATGGAACTATGGACTCAGCTGGTTGAGGAAACGATGACTCCCAAGCAGCAATTGGGCTTGTTCTGATTATCAAAATGTCCTGAATACTTATGAGTTATTTTTTGTTTGTTCTATTGTTCGTTCGCTCCTTTTCAATATCTAGATTAGATTTTTATTGAGTGCTTTTGGCAAGTCTAATAAGGACGGATAGCGGCATGAAGAGAGACTGTGAGGTGTGTCCCGTTGAACAAAATAAACATTGCCTGTTTGGATAACGTGTGAACATTAAATAATTATACTGCCATTATATAAAAGGTTTATATAAACGGGTTATATCCCTAACTAGGAACAGTAAAAAGTATGTATCGTAGAAAAGGAACATATGCGCGACATTACCGTTTTCTTTATTGTTCATTCGCTTCATATTCTTTACAATCTCATAAAGCCTTGTGAACATCGGCACCAATACCCAGTGCTGAAGCTATAGCAGGCCCATTGCTGCCCTTTGATTTGGACACCTGGTACTTGCCTGGGACCCGGAGAAGGCATGGTCACGTGACACGTGTTTCGGTGCTGTTGACCACACCTTTTCCTAAGCTACAGTTTCTGGCCACAGGCCTGCCTTGGATCTGCGGGTATCTGAGGCAACGGCCCACAATATCCTCCGGCAGAGGAGCCAAAACAAACCCGAACCAAAACAGGACCCAAACCAAAAACGAACCCAAACCAAAAGCAAACCCAAGCGAAAAATAACCCAAGCCAAAAAAAACCCAAGCCAAAAAAAACCCAAACCAAAACAAACCCAACCCAGAAACAAACCTACTCTACAACCACTTTCATAGCAACGTCATGTTATTTAATCACTATACGGGACGCGGAGTACACCACAGCACGCTTATTGCTGGGAGAAGTGCTCCAACAAGATGTTTCTCTCCTCGGAGTCGGCACCCCAGTTCTTGACAACAACACAAGAAGCACCAACAACCTTTCTGGCGTTGCCCTCTCTGTCCAACTGGCACAAACCGGCCCACTCGCCCAACAACTTGGCGTCGGAGACCTTGATCAAAGGAATCTTCTCGTCACCCTCGTTACACAAACCCTCAACCAACTTGACGATCGAGGCCTCGGTGACGGAGTCACAGAGAACACAGAGCTGAGCCTCCTTTCTGGACAAAGCCTTGGAGGCCTCTCTCAAACCTCTGGCAAGACCGTCGTGGACCAAAGAGGTTCTCAAGACAACCTTCAAGGCGTCCTCGATGGAGATGGAGGCATCTTGTTGCTCGACGGCAACCTCCTCGACGATTTGTTGTTCTTCGATGTCAGACATGGTTAAATAATTGGCGTGAATTAATGGACTTCTTCGTCAGTTAACTGCTCAGTGAAGAAAAGACACCTTGATGGTGGGCGCGGTGTGTTTTTTTTTTTCGGCCTGGGTGCGCCGTCCTGCAGGCAGCCGCGCGCGCCCATCAGGGCATGAGCCCTAGTGCATGGGTGCGACGCGGTGGGCTGGAGAGAGCCTGGCCTATAGGGCCGGATCCGGAATAGACGAGGATGCTGTTGCGGGAAAATACGCGGGGAGTGGAGTCAGTGGGTGGCCATGTGACTGGGTTGGGGCAGTCGTGTGATTTACGGGGCGTGGGCTGAATTGGTGGGTGCCTGACCTCTGCACGTTGTATGTAATGTATGTATATACTATATCTATAACAGAAGTAGTGTGCTGAGGATGAGGCGCGCACCCTATACAGTCTGGGTCCAGCCGTGACAGGTACTTTCGTTGCATCGTGTTGTATGGGTGGGCAGGATAGCTTTTGGCCTATGGGCTGGTTTCAGTTTTGGCTTTGTTTTGGCTCTTTTTTGGCTTTGTTTTTGGCTTTGTTTCTGGCTTTTCCCTTTCTATTCTTCTTTGCCTTATGTATTGGTGTCCCCCGGAAAAAAGTCTGGCGACAGCCGGTGAACCGATACCCACTGATTGATCGAGGATCAATTAGCCAGCAGATAATTGTCAAACGCCAGCGTAAACACGTGGCATGTAGCTTGAAGCCAAGGCCTGCGACACGAACCCTGGTGGAGTTCATGGAGAGTGCGCGTGCGTCTCGTCGTAGGCTTATCCTCCGCCTTGGGCCTCGAGAAAGATGTCCATAGAAGACGCCTTAGACAGTTGTAGAAGCTTAAGCATGGCCTGCGCCCGGCCGACATGCAGCAGTAGATGGTTGGATCGGCATTGGTGCGGCCGAGCATCTATTAGTACTACAAGAAGCACATGCGCGAGAACCATTTCTCCCCGTGCCGCATTCCGCTGCGGCTGCTCCAGACAAGCGGGTCCGCCTATGTGCGGGTAGCAATGCCCACGGCATACAATCGCTTCCTCCCATGTGCGGGGAACAGCAAGCGCTGGAGGATGCCGGAGAGCCGAGGCGCGGTCCGTGTGCGTTTTATAAATAAAGTGGGAGGCGGGCGTGCTCAGAGCTCCATCTCGTCGGCGCCAAAGGGCTCGTGGGGCGCGGAGTCGTAGTCGTCATCGATGGCCAGGTCGTTGTCCAGGGCGGCGTGCGCGGCGGCGGCCAGGCGCGGCAAGTCGGCGGCGTCGTCGTCCTCATCGTCCTCGAAGTCGACGTCGAAAAAGTCGTCGCACGAGCCGGTGATGCGCTGGTACAACAGCTTGACCTCGCCCACGACGCCGTCGTAGCTGATCTCGGCGGAGGGCATGTTCAGGAACATGATGTCGGCGGAGTCCCGGACGCCCAAGTTGGAGATGTTGAGCTGCAGCGTGGCCTCGGGCGCCAACACGTTGGAGAGGTCCGGGTTGATGTAGGTCTTCTGCACGAAGCCGATTTTGCACACGATGTCCAAGGCCTGCGTGGGCACGAAGCTCAGCAAGGACTCGCCCAACTTGAACGAGTTGACCAAGATGGGGGTGCCCTGCTGGCTGAGCACGAAGTCCTTGTCGTCGAGCACGTCGTCGAGGTTGGTGGCGCTCTCGCGCAAAAGGGCGTTCTCCATCTTGGCAAACGCGCTCTCCAAGTCGGCCTTGGCCTTGGCGGCGTGCGGCTCGGGCGTGTGCAAGTACCAGATGGCCTCGCCCGCGGGGCACACGCCGGCGCCGCCGTTCTGGATGAGGGCCTGCACCGCGTGCTGGTTGTGCGTGGGCAAGGAGTGCGGCGGGAACACCACCACGGCGCTGGACTCGGACGCGGCCATCCACTCAGCGCAGGCGTTGCGCACGATGGCCACGAGGCGCGTCACGGAGAACGGCGGCAAGCGCGCCGCGGCCTCGGCGTAGCCGGACTGCAAGAAGCGCGGCACCTGGTTGGGCAGCACCACGATCTTCTCGTTGATGCGCACGCGCGAGCCGTCGTCGAAGCGCGCGACCTTGGCCTGCGGGTCGTAGTCCACGAGGCGCGTGGCGAGCTTGTAGGTGGCGCCCGCGACGGCCGCGCTGCGGCAGAAGCCCTGGGCCAACTCGCCCGGGCCGCCGTACCTCAGCACCATCACGGGGAACTTGCCGTAGACGTCGAGCGACACGAGGAAGCGGCCTCGGGCGTGCGCGTGTGCGGGCGGCTGCAGAGCCCGATGGAGTACACGAGCTCGTCGGCCTGCGGCGGCGCGAGGTGGAACTGGCGGCGCAAGAAGTCGCCGATGGGCGTGGCGGCGTGCGCCGCGAGGAGCGCGGCCTTGTGCGGCGCGGCGTTGTCCTGCAACACGAACTTCAAGAAGCGCATCAACGAGCGCTTGGTGGCCACCAGCAACTGCTGGTCCGTGAAGATCTGCTCCTGCGACGCGCCGGTCAACTTCAGCAGGAAGTGGTCGTTCTCGAACATGTGGAAGTTGGACACGCTCTGGAACTCCACGTACCGGTACACCTTCAGGCGCACGAGCAACGCCAACAAGTCCAGCTGCGCAAACATCACCTTGGGGCTGAGGTCCACGCCGTAGTCCGTGCTGCTGAACGCGTTGGTGCGTTCGCCGCCAGGCACGTAGATCTGCGCGTCCGACACGTGCGCCACCTGGCCCTGGTTGGCCTCCACGCACCACCGCTTCAACTGCTCGATGGTGAGCGTGGGCGCCGTGTCGCCGTAGTGGGGGTTTCGGTCGATGTGCAACACGGCCACGCCCTGCCACGCGAGCGCGGCCGCCAAGATGGACTCCACGAGCCCGGTGCCGAGGATGAGGATGTCGCACTGCTCGAGCGCCAAGCTGTGGGCGTTGGGCTTCTCGAGCCCGCTGAGCGGCGGGATGACTGCGGGGATGTACGACGCGCTGGGGCGCCGCTCGGCCATCAGGGCGCGGCGCTCGGTCTTGCGGAACGCGGGCATGTGTGTTTGTGATTCGGGGGAGTTTTTGGGTGGTTTTTGGGGGAGTTTGGGTGGTTCAGGTTTTGGGTGGTTCAGGTTTTGGGTGGTTCAGGGGATGTTTTTGGGTGGTTCAGGGGATGTTTATGGGTGGTTCAGGGGATGTTTATGGGTGGTTCAGGGGATGTTTTTGGCGTTTTGTGGGTGATTCTTGGGTGTTTTTGGTGTGGTTTGTGGACCACTTGGGGGTGGTTTGAGGCGATTTGTGGGTGGTTTGTGGGTGACTCGTGGGTGACTCGTGGGTGACTCGTGGGTGACTCGTGGGTGATTTGATGGACACTGCCGTATTTTCAACGTGGTTTTGGCGGGTTTTGGCGGGTTTCGGTGGGTTCTGGTGGGCGCTTGGGGGTTGGTAGACGCCCAGTTAATCGTTCGGCCGGACCAGTGAGGCTCAGTGCGAACTGTGGAGGGCCTGTGTGCAGGACCGTCCTGGGCCTCACGGGGGCACGGAGGAAAAGCCTGCAAACAGTCGGGCCGCCGAGAAACCCGGGCGGATTTGTGGCGGCCGTGCATCTAGAAAGCCGGCGCGAGCAAAAAAAATGCCATGTGTGCCGAGACTGGCGCATAGCGCCTGGCCTGTTGCGGCGCCGTTCCCGCATCGTCAGTATGGGGCCGCGGCCCGAAATTAGGTGCTAGCAAAATTTTCGCGAGGGCCCGGGCCGCATTGCACAGCCAGGCCGGCGCGCCCCACAACACAGCTCCCCCAATCCCATGTTATGGGTGTGTTGAGTTTCTCTGTTTTTTTTTGGTGCGTTCGTTTTTTTTGGTGTTTTCTTTGGTGTTTTCTTTGGTGTTTTGTTTTTTGTTTTTGTTTTTGTTTTTGTTTTTTTGGGGCTTTCATCGTCGTCCCATTCCTGGGCTTGGTTTTGGTGCCCCGTTTGTTCCTTGTGTTCTCGGGACCCAGAGGTTCATCCGCCCACCGAAATTAAGGTTGGGCGGCGCCGCGTGCTCGGGCCGCGCTGCGCCGCTGGCTTGGACCACCACCACGAGGCCCGCGAATAGACAAAGCCAAGCAGAAGGAAAAGGAATGACAATGTTCAAGCCCAGAAAAAAAAAAAAAAGAGAACTTCGGCACAGGAGAAAAGAACTGCCACACGGCCGAGCGGACGTGACCAAAGAGGCCGAGAGATCTGACGACACAAAAAAAAGGGGGGTGCCAAGCCATAATCCACTCAACTCCAATAATTGGTACTGCGCGAGCGCTGGCCATGGAGAGACGAGCAAAGAGCGGCGGGGAACAGACGACACATGCATGCAGATGACAAGTGTAAAAACGACAGGAACAACAAGAACGCAAGAGTGACAAAAGCGAGGAAAACGACGCCAATGAAACCTAGCGTCTCACAGTAGACAAGGTTTCTACAACTCACAGAAGGTGACTGCCCGAAAGGTGCAGGACTGCAACAATCAGTGGCCATGCGAGTTCCCCTACAGGCATTATGTCTCAGACGGAACAAAAAAGAAAAACGGCCAACTCCAGTGCCTCGTCCGACGCCAAGCCTTAAAACACACCAAACACCCACAGCATTGTCCTAGTCCCAATTGGAAACGCCGTGTTCCATTGGTGTCCTGCGTCCGGCTGCAAACCCCGCGTGCAGTCTCGCTCTGGGACCGGCTAATTTATTGGCTTTTTGGTATCGTCCTTTCACAGAGGACAGACGGGTGTCTACCACCTGCAAAATACCATATAGCTGGAACACCCAAAACCGGTCGCGGCTCTCCTCATGCTCCAGCAATCATCCTGGACTACTGTCTGGGGCCCCACCCCAAAGATAAGTGAACCAGGAAATACTAAGTATTAAGTTATTGGCTCCTTGACAGAAGTTAAAGCCCAGGGCCCTTTTTCTTGGAAGAGAGTCTTTCCAAACCCTCACTTCCAGCAAGGAAATCTTGAAACACCCCAACAAGCCAGTATCGTGTGAACTGAATCCAGGTATTTGATGGAGCACGCATGGATGGGATCGTATGTCTCGTTTCCACCACAAATCGGCCCTTCGCAGAAACTTCAGATACGAGGCTCTTTCCCTGGCATTCCACTGATACAAGCCATAGCCGCCCTGTTGCACGATCGTCATGGACCGGGACAAACCTCCCTGCACTGAGCTGGCCAATCGTCAAATCATTTCCTAGCTGACACTTCTGGCTATGTTTGTCAAATTAGGACCACCTCTCTAATCTGAAAAGGCACCCAGCAAGAAGGGGGAGAGATGTGTTTCCGAATACAATGTCTGAAATACGCCTCTTTCGCTGCCTGTGATCGTGGACATACTGCAAGGTTTCCTCTAGTACTTGGCATTTCTTCCGTTTGAAAAAGGTGCTTCCACTCGGTTAAATGCATGATCTCTTCACAACCTCTGGCAGTTGTGCAATGTCATTTGAGGTAACAGTAAAACTCCACAGAATAGACTCCCTGTCTAGAAAGAAAACTGCTCATCAAACAATCCCAATGTCCTGGTTTCGGCAGTGCGTCTTGTTCATGGTGTACTATTTTGAGTCTCCCCAAGTTGCCCACCAATCTGTGGTTTCTGTCAATGCAGAAAGATCTCTGTTTGAAACCCCTGTATGTATAGCCCAAAAGTTTCCAATTGATGGTTTATTTGTCTTTCCGAGTCCCCCTCTCCAGATGTGGGGGTGATGTCGTTAGTCGCTTAAGTTACGCCCAAGTGAACGTACCCGATATTATGCTGTACTCATTATTAGAACAAGTATCAAAATAATTAGAGTCTTCGGTTGATACCCCTATTGAGTTGCTGTTGGTGGCAATGATCGTCCATTTTGTGTTTGGAAGCTTAGAATTTGTAGGATTGATTCTACAGTTGAGTACCCTCGAGGTTTGATCTCTCTTCATGGTCTTGAAATCGCTTCTGAAGTTCAACGAATGATTCACTTCATCTGTAGAAGCATGATGCTTCATGAATTCAAAAGGTACAGTCCCCAAGCAAATCAGGGGCTGTGAAGTGTGTTCAAGGTTACACGATTCAAGCGCAAAATTAGAATCAGGAGGATGGTGTTCCTGAACAGATAGGTACTGCTCATATTAATTTTTGATGTGCCACGATCAGCGTAAATATCGCCTCATTACAGCCCAAAGTCACTTAATTTGTTTCAGCACATAGCAATGGGGATAGACGCTATCAAAATTCGTCGCGAAATAAACTAGGCGTTTTCGCAATTTACCCGTTTTCGTATTACCTTTTGGAAAGAAGTCCAATATTGAAGCTATGTAAAGCTATCAAAGCAGCCAAGAAACTATCCATTCTTTTCTTGAGAGCTAAACTGAATTTAAATCTCATCAGTTATATATTCTGTCTTGTCTTTCGCATAAATAACGCATGATAAATAAAATAAACAATAAAGATGCCCAAAAAATCTTACAAACCTTATCACGTTTTTGCGTGTAAGCTCTTCAGCAGGAATGACCAAAGTGAGCATGGATTTGAGTACCCATCAAGCCTCTAATGCGAACTAGTAATATAAACAAAGCAACGGTTGTGTGAGCAAATTTTATAGCTAGACAATAATACAATTCATGGATCTGGAGCTATAAAGAGAGAGACACCGCCCAATTTGCCATCATAGCGCATAAATGTAATCTGGCTCCTGTACTACAAACAAACTAGCAAAACTATCCATTACAGTGACCTGTCTGGAGCCTTGATCAAATGTTATAGACAGTCGTAACACAACTATACTCGCTGAGCTTGGTATAGCATATAACGTTGGAGAAGACATATGAACGAATAGTAACATATCTAGAACTGCATCAGTAGAACTAAGCTTATATAACGTGGGATTCGATTGTAATGGAGTTTTAAGTGTGATGAGAAGTTTTCTTAGAAAATGAAGAAAAGTAATATCAAAAGTTTCTCACGTCTTGTATGACTGTCCACTACGAAAGTGGCTTCGTCGAAGAGTACGTCTCCCAACCACCATACTGGAGGAGAAATCTAGCTCAATAATTTCACAGCCCATAGTATGCAGAGTAGATTTTAAACAGAACCGCTTCATGCGGAAAATCTTTCAGCATTAAGAATAGCATGCATAAGCGTTGGAAATTATCAAACACTTTTTATAATAGGCATGAATATAACTACAAACTACTCTGTTCAGGAAGCTTTCATGAAAAAGCCGCATTGGTTTGAATTCTTTAGTTGCTTGGCGCTTATGGGGCTGAGAAAATCCTCACTTTTAAACCTTTTTCACTGAAAGGATAAATTTTGAAGACTTTTTTTCAACATATGGTGTTCATTCTTGCTAAAATTTAGTCACTATTCATTGGATCAACGTTTTTATTATCTACAATGCAGCTACCTTGCTTTTGCAGTGCATGATAGACCTTACTATAAATACAGAGTTTATTGGACACTCCTAAAAAGCTTAAAATTTTGGAAGTAAATACAATAGCTTTTCTTCTCACTCTTCCCCGCTCTCTTCTCATTTTTTGACTATTGTAACCTTATGTAAAAACATTCTTGAATGAAAGACTGTAAGATACAAATATAAAACAGCAAGCGCCCTTCATTCACAGCAGAAGTATTGAGTATTGCAAATAGTTTCAGCACGACCAAGTTTGCCTTTAAATATCAATACCTTGACCCCTCGGAAACTGGAATTCTTGATTTTGTTAGTTTCAAATAGAAGTCAGTTATCAAGCCCCACAATATGACCTCAGGCTTTAGCGCAGTAGTCCTTACTGTGTTGTGTCTTCTCAGTCTGATTTTTGCCGCAACTATTACCCGCAATACCTATATATCTCCCAGAACAGAATTCAGTACTTCAGATATCACAGTTAATGCCAACACATATTACTACATGCTTGACATACTCGATGTAACGGTCCTGGGATCTTTTCGGAATAATGGGCAATTCTTCTTGCATATGTCAAACAATCGGTCGACTTCGGTGAGAATGACAGGAAACCACTTCGAAAATGCTGGAGTATTTGTTTTTCGCTCATTTGAATTGAGAACGTTTTCTGATTATCAAGTCACACCTTCTGGACCTTTCCTTAATACCGGAGATATGTACTTCGGGGTCCACAATGCCGTCTACGATTCATTGCCATTTTCCGTCACGTCTTTATCCTCATGGTCCAACACTGGTATGATGGTATTTGTTTCAGAATATGGGGAGCCAGCCGATTTACAATTGCAATGTCATGATGAAAATGGAATTCAAACATCTATAACAAACAATGGTACAATCTTCTTCACGAATATTCATTGGAAGGCACGCACAAATATAAAAGGAAATGGATGTATGGTATTGGGTTCTGGTGTACTGGTAGACTTGTATTATTCCGAAAGCATGCAAGGTATAGCGGGAAATCAAACTATTTACTTAGCCGACCCTTATTCATGGTTGAGAGTTATTGGAATAGAAACCCGTGAGGGTGGCGCACCTACTCTCAAAGTCGCAGGGCTTGGTAATGGGAATGCAATTATAGTCCAAGCCTATGGATCCATTAGCAGCGTTCACTATTCCAAGAAAAATGGATTGCTAAAAGTTTACATCGACGACGTTGTAAGGATCATTTTCAACATTGGTACGGGTTATGGGAATTTCCAAATAACCGGTGGTTACATTTCCTACAGTGAACAGCCTCCAAACAATCCTCCTACAATTTGCGAACGTAGTTCTGTATTTCCTTCGAGACGACTCTGAGACAACGTTCTTCTGGTCATGGGATGAGACATCCAGCCCGCTTTCGTCTGTTCGAAAGCTGGTTTCTATTTCGCTAAGTAGTCAATAAATGTGTTAACATAAATCATCACGGAGAAGCGGTATACTGCATATAGTGAGCAGGACCGGGCGTGGGATGTGAAAACTCTTCACGCGGGAACCCACGACGGGTTTGGTCTCGATCGGTTATCAGTAATAAGTTAGAGTCCAGGGTAATATATCCCGGGTCTATATCTCAACAACGGACTACTGTGGAGGAACTGCTTTGAGTGTCTTAACAATAAATCAACAATACATCTGCAAAAATGCCATTTGGCACTATGCAGTTTACTCAGGGCGTGTTGCGCGTCACGTGACTTGCACCTCAGATGGCACAATTCTCGGTTGCGGCCGCAACTTTGCCACCAGCTATCCGTCTTGCCACCTGCCAATCTGCCTGTGCACCCCATAATTTCCCAAATGACAGACAAAGACCAGACCCCAGGATCTCTTCTTTTGGCCTGGCAGGTCAAAGATAAGCACTGCCTCGTCATCGGCGGCGGCGACGTCGGGCTCAGCAGAGTGGATCATATGATCCGGGCCAATGCGAAAATCACCGTGGTCACGGGCGACAAAACTCACCCGGACTTGCTCGAAAGACACCGGGCAGGAAAATTATATAGCCTCATTCAGCGGGCCTACGAGCCGCTGGACTTAACTATGTATGAGACAGAGCCATCCTTTGCTGTCGACTCGTATAAAGACATCACCGCGGCCCACTACGCGGCCATCAATGAGCTCGTTTCCAACGAGCACTTTGCATGTGTGTGCTGCTGCATCGATGACCCCGTGCTCTCCGCGGCTATCTACTACCAATGTAAGTATTTGCGGATTCCTGTTAACATCGCGGACAAGCCGCCCATGTGCGACTTCTACTTCGGGCTGATGTTCAACCAAGACGCGTTGCAGATCATGATCAGCACCAACGGCAAGTCGCCTCGTCTCCTGAAAATGATCAAGGACGACATTCTGAAGAAGTTCTCCAACATCCGGCTCAACGATGCGGTCGACAACTTGGGTGCCATCCGTGCCAGGCTCCGCGAGAAGAAGGTGCCGGACACAGACCTTGCCTCCATCGATGCACGCATGCTGTGGATCAAGCTGTTGACAGACTTTTTTTTCTTTGGAGCAGTGGAGCGTGCTCGAGTTGCCCACGGGCGCCTTGGACAAGATCATTGAGCCGTACCCTGAATTTCCGCCCAAAGACTATGAGGAGTTCAAGAAGTATATTGCTTGAGCGGTCGTGGTGTTCTTTCATAGTACATGTCAGTTATTGCAATATGGGGTTTTGTGACTGGGCCAATCGGCTGCCTTTTTTATGCGGATGCCGTTGAATGTTGAGGAGGTGTATGAGAGGTGAGCCTGGCCATGCCGGTGCTTTACGAGGTGTTGCTGAATCCATAATTGTGGCTGTTTGTTCTGGCATCATGCCATCATTCAGCGAGAAAACAAGACGCACTCTTCATTTATGGCGAACGCTACAAAATCGGTGTTCACGTACAAAATCGGTGTTCATGTGTTTCAAGTGAACGGCCTCACCATGGTCAAGTACATCTACGCGACCGTAGGCACTCATTCTAAAACTTATGATCCTCGTTCTGAAAGACTCAGCCATATCGCTTGAGAACCGGCGTATTCGAACCTTTATATCCGGATCTTTCTCACTTTCTTTCATCCCCCTTAGTAGATTCGATTACATGACCCATAGTGTGAGTCGAGGCCAGTCTGTTTGCATGAAGTTCATCAGAGAGGGAATTCGGCCCGCTGTTAATAAGGAATCATAAATGATTTTAGTCATTTTGGAAGAAGTCTACATTCCAGGCAGTGTCGCCTGGCCCTTCGGCAGAGCCAGCCTAAATAACATCCTTTCAAGTCTATACGAAAGGCTGAGTTCAGCAGTCCGGCCTGAATGACAACGTATTACATGCCACACGCCAGTCCACTTGAAACAATCACATGCCAGATCCTAGTCAGGCAAGACATAGAAAAACATAGCAAAAGGCCCGCTCATCATCTCCCAGGAATCTCGCTTAGAATGGGATGTCCTCGTGGACAAACACCTTGGAGCCACCCGCACCCACATATTCCAGGGCAATGTGCCCGTCGCCCTTGAGCTGGTACTGGTAACTCATCAAGCCCTCAAGCCCCACGGGCCCCCGGGCGTGGATCTTGTTGGTGCTGATTCCAACCTCCGTGCCGAACCCGTAGCGGAACCCGTCGGCAAATCTCGTGGAGCAGTTCCAGTACACACCGGCCGAGTCCACGCCCTTCAAAAACGTGTCTGCTGTAGGCTTGTCTTCCGTGACAATGCAGTCCGTGTGTTTTGACGAGTGTTCGTTGATGTGGGCCACCGCCGCAGAGACATCCGCCACGGGCTTGACGGAAATGTCAAAGGACAAGTACTCGATGTCAAAAGCATTCTGCGCCGCGTCCACGACGTATTTTCTGTCCACGGATTCTCCCAATGATGCATTGATTTCCGGCACCACGTGCAACGTGACCTCGGCAGCAGTGAGGCTGGCCAAAAGCTTGTCGAGCTTGGCCGAATCTTTCACAATGTCCTCGTGGATAAGCAACTGCTCCACCGCATTACATCCAGCCGGGTAGTTTGTTTTGGAGTCCACCACGACACGGCACGCCTTGTCCAAGTCCGCGCTTTTGTCGATAAAAATCGAGCAGATGCCGTCGGCGTGGCCCAAAACAGGAATCTTGGTGTTTTCCTTGATGTTGCGTACCAACGCGTTGCTGCCTCTTGGAATCACCAAGTCGATGTACCCGTCCTGGGCCAACAAGTCGGAGACCTCGCCACGTGACTGGATCAACTGGATGGCCAGTTCCGGCACCTGTGTGTCGTGCTTCAAAGTGGCGTTGACCACCTCGGAGATGGCCTTGAAGGTCTGGTAAGATTCCTTGCCGCCTTTCAAGATGGCGCAGTTTCCGGACTTGATAGCCAATGCCGAGATGTTGGCAATCACCTCGGGCCGGCTCTCAAAAATAATCAAAAGCACGCCCAACGGCGCCAGCACTCTGTACAAATTCAAGCCCTCGTCGAGCTTTTTAGCCAACGTGGTCTTGCCTACAGGGTCAGGCAAGCTTGCCACATCAAGAATGCCTTGCAACATCGCCTCGTATTTGCCGTTTTTCTCGAGATCTAGGCGCTTGATTAACGCGGACGACAAGCGGCAGTTTTCGGCGTCGGCCAAGTCCTTTTTGTTGGCTTCCAAAACCGTGGTTTTCGCCTGCGCCAAAGCATCGTGGATCTTTTTCAACGCATGAGATCTCTGCTCGTTTGAGAGAGTTTTGAGGATGCCAAATGCACCACTGGCGTCTCTGGCGATTTGCTCGGCCATTTCTGTAAATTATGTCCCGCTTAGAGATGTGGGTCGAAGCTTAGCGCAGAGTGATTGAGAACCATGGTTTCGCACTGTTCTGTATCTATCGCAATGATGGGTGCAATTTCTGCAGATTCTTCTGTCAAACAAGAGGTGTATACGCTTTGACAAATGAAGGGGTTATGCTATTCCGAGCTTGCACTTTTTGCCGTTTCTACTTTTAGTTTTTAAAAAGGGGCAGCTTTTGCATAACTTTGTGAGATGCCCAAGTGGCTAGATTATCCTTGTGGTGACTCATCACTGTAGATGGGTGTGCTCGAAAAACTTGTTCTGGGCTTTTACTTAGGTGTCACGGCTACCAACCCAAGAAAAGGCTTGAGCTCACGCAAAAGACTCAAAACCTTCTTCTATGATTGACCACTTCCATGGCAAGTGAGAAACAAAAAGCCAAAAAGATTGCAGCACCACAATTTCGCATATGGTCTCCCACTACACTACTCAGTGTGGCCCTATGCAGCTTAACTAACGTTGATCGGACGGGAAACGGTGCTTCCTGCATGGTATGGCCGCAACCGAAAGTTATTATGAAACAGCCTGGAGCTGTCTCTTAAACTACGAGTAGATCGGTTTATAGATAGTTCAGCCTTAGTGGATAGGCCTAGTCTATCTGTCGTATTCTCGATGTCTAAAAAGTGTTATCCTTCTTCAGGGATGTCTCAGCCTCACGCTCCTTTATAGTTCGGAACCCTTCTATACAGTAGGTGAGGG